AATAACCCTGAATTCTTCCAATCTTTGACAATACATTAATGTATTGAAACATATAAATATAATATATGTAAATTGCTCCAAGGTGTACGAGAATATTTGAAATACAAATATTCATAAGTTACAATTCTCGGGTCCAAGGGCCACACAATAATTTCTGCTACTGTGCACACAGTCTGCACCGCATTAGGCAACAGTTGGCCGTCCATTGATTTTGTTTCCATAACTCATTAGAAATTCAGATCAACTGAATTAAAAACCTACATGCAGAAAACTTTACACAGCTAGTAATATCCTGTTGGAAAATTAAAAAATAAAGATTGTTATCTGGTAATGTCTACTAAATGCTTTTGTAATTGGTAATGCCAATACGTTACGGAGATGGGGTGTCTAAAAATGATAAAACGTAAAGCGTGACCCAGGCATGAAATAATAAAAACAGCGGTGAAGATGATACGAACAGCTGACACTGTGTATTCGTGGAATCAGAACTCTGATCCACAGTACCTTACCAAAGTCAGGAGGTCTGTAAACACTGAACTCGATCAGGAGTTTAATCTTGTAGCGTGCTAACACAGAAACTCACAGATAAGTATCGCCCGATAAAGAGTCGGTCTTAGCGAGCTAATGAGCCAGCTTATCCCCCTTGTGGTCTACATTCCGAAGTCTTGTTCTTGCTATAAGGGTGACTGAAGATCTATATTACTTGTAGAATTGTGTGTTTTCTGAATGCAGGAGGGTAATAGTAACATATACAATCGCAGCAGCTGGATGGATTAGCTGACACTCTACACTTCACACATTTATGTAATATCATGACAGATATCTGCACTCTGACTCTAAAGTTTTAATGATTATTTTGATCTTCTCTTCATATTTGAATTGTAAATGTGTAATTTTACACTATACATTGAACCGTTACCGTAGCGGTACTCAAGCTTCATCGACAATTCATTTATACCTGAAACTGTGGTTTTATTCTATATTGAATAATCAAGGTAATGACTGCGTTTTTGGTTTTCCTTTTTTAGCTCACCTGAGCTGAAAGCTCAAGTGAGCTTTTCTGATCACCCGTTGTCCGTCGTCCGTCCGTCTGTCCGTCCGTCCGTCTGTCCGTCTGTCCGTCCGTCTGTAAACTTTTCACATTTTCAGCTTCTTCTCAAGAACCACTTGGCCAATTTTAACCAAACTTGGTACAAAGTATCCTTGGTTGAAGGGGAGTGTAAATTGTTAAAATAAAGGGCCAAGTCCCCTTACAAGGGGAGATAATCAAGAAAAGACAAAAATAGGGTGGGGTCATTAAAAAATCTTCTTCTCAAGAACCACTGGGCCAGAAAAGCTGAAACTTATGTGGAAGCATCCTGGGATAGTGTAGATTCTAAATTGTTAAAATCATGACCCCCGGGGGTAGGGCGGGGCCACAATAGGGAATCCAAGTTTTACATTGAAATACATAAGAAAAATCTTTAAAAATCTTCTTCTCAAGAACCACTGGGCCAGAAAAGCTGAAACTTATATGGAAGCATCCTGGGATAGTGTAGATTCTAAATTGTTCAAATCATGACCCCCGGGGGTAGGGCGGGGCCACAATAGGGAATCCAAGTTTTACATTGAAATATATAGGAAAAATCTTAAAAAATCTTCTTCTCAAGAACCACTGGGCCAGAAAAGCTGAAACTTATGTGGAAGCATCCTGGGATAGTGTAGATTCTAAATTGTTAAAATCATGACCCCCGGGGGTAGGGCGGGGCCACAATAGGGAATCCAAGTTTTACATTGAAATACATAAGAAAAATCTTTAAAAATCTTCTTCTCAAGAACCACTGGGCCAGAAAAGCTGAAACTTATATGCAAGCATCCTGGGATAGTGTAGATTCTAAATTGTTAAAATCATGACCTCCGAGGGTAGGGCGGGGCCACATTAAGGAATCCAAGTTTTACATTGAAATACATAAGAAAAATCTTTAAAAATCTTCTTCTCAAGAACCACTGGGCCAGAAAAGCTGAAACTTATATGGAAGCATCCTGGGGTAGTGTTAATTCTAAATTGTTCAAATCATGACCCCCGGGGGTAGGGCGGGGCCACAATAGGGAATCCAAGTTTTACATTGAAATATATAGGAAAAATCTTTAAAAAATCTTCTTCTCAAGAACCACTGGGCCAGAAAAGCTGAAACTTATATGCAAGCATCCTGGGATAGTGTAGATTCTAAATTGTTAAAATCATGACCTCCGAGGGTAGGGCGGGGTCACATTAAGGAATCCAAGTTTTACATTGAAATACATAAGAAAAATCTTTAAAAATCTTCTTCTCAAGAACCACTGGGCCAGAAAAGCTGAAACTTATATGGAAGCATCCTGGGGTAGTGTACATTATAAATTGTTCAAATCATGACCCCCGGGGGTAGGGCGGGGCCACAATAGGGAATCCAAGTTTTACATTGAAATACATAAGAAAAATCTTTAAAAATCTTCTTCTCAAGAACCACTGGGCCAGAAAAGCTGAAACTTATATGGAAGCATCCTGGGATAGTGTAGATTCTAAATTGTTCAAATCATGACCCCCGGGGGTAGGGCGGGGCCACAATAGGGAATCCAAGTTTTACATTGAAATATATAGGAAAAATCTTAAAAAATCTTCTTCTCAAGAACCACTGGGCCAGAAAAGCTGAAACTTATATGGAAGCATCCTGGGGTAGTGTACATTCTAAATTGTTCAAATCATGACCCCCGGGGGTAGGGCGGGGCCACAATAGGGAATCCAAGTTTTACATTGAAATATATTAAAAAATCTTTAAAAATCTTCTTTTCAAGAACCACTGGACCAATAAAGCTGAAACTATTTGGAAACATCCTGAGGTAGTGTAGATTCTAAATTGTTCAAATCATGACCCCCAGGGGTAGGGTGGGGCCACAATAGGTATATTAAAAGGGGGAAATCTGGTAAAGAACAGCATGGCCAAAGTTACTCAGGTGAGCGATGTGGCCCATGGGCCTCTTGTTTGTACAAATGATGCTTGTTAGTCAAGTTGGATCAGGGATGCATAAGGGGTGGATGTTTAACAGCAGTGTATCCGAGATATTAGGGTTAGGTATTAAAAAGACGCTTGAGTTTCTGATTGACAATATCTATGTGGTTTTTGGAGACCAGGTCATCCAACAATCTGTTGGTATTCCCATGGGTACCAATTGCGCCCCGTTGTTAGCAGACCTATTTTTGTATTCATATATATGAAGCAGAATTTATTCAAAAACTTAAACATGAGAAGAAGAAATCTCTTGCTGTGGCCTTCAACTCGACATTTAGATATATCGACGACGTATTATCAATTGACAATAGTTATTTCTATTCATATGTCGACACGATATATCCCAGTGAGCTTGAAATAAAAGATACCACATAGTCTGACACATCTGCTTCATATTTGGATATTGTTCTAGAAAAAGACATTAATGGTAATCCAACAACAAAGCTTTATGATAAACGTGATGACTTTAACTTTTCAATCTTCAACTTCCCTTACTTATGCAGCAATATACCCTTAACACCTGCATATGGGGTGTATATCTTTCAGTTGATTCGATATGCAAGAGCATTCTCTACGTATGAATGGTTTCTAAACCGAGGTTAGTTACTGACAAACAAGTTGATGAAACAAGAATATCAACAGTCTCGTTTAAAGTCGTAATTTCGTAAGTTCTCTGGTCCATACAATGACCTTGTCAGCAAATACAATCTATCATTAAGTCATATGCTGACTGACGTTTTTCATACTAATTGTTATAGACCATTATTTACATCCTGAATTGTCAACGGATTTTTCCGTTATTTCTCGATTATGACAACAAGCACACGGCGGGTGTGACCGGTTGGTAGGGAATGCTCACTCCTCCATGGCACCCGATCCCACCTCTGATGTTTTTGGAGGTCCGTGTTTGCTCTGCTCCCGATTTGTATTGTTTTAATGGACTTCGAGCTTGAATACTGTTCGTTATTTCCATATTTCATCAAGTTTTTCTCTCTCATAAAAAACGAATCCTCCTAGTCAGTATAACAGGAAGTGTTTGTGTAATCTTTAACTTTCTGATATAGAAATGCTAAAATAGGAATGACCCTGACCCAAAATTTTTTCTGGTCACGGTAATTAAAAGTCCCAGTGATTAGAAATGTAATCGATATCTGTCAAGGAAAAATGTTTCAAGTTTCTACAGGGTACAAGTTTGGTTATGATAATAACTAAGTCTAAGTTCTGGGGTGTGGCATGAAGCTGAAGTAATGACCATTGGACAAGGTCAAAATCTCCATTACATGTGGACCAGACTTCGAGTCATTTTTGTTTAACACTACATCTTGTTTCTCTCTCTCCTCATCTCTCGTTCTTACAGATTTTGTATCCAAAAGAAACCCAGTCCCTTCGATCTTTTGGGAAAGACCGTTAATAAGCCATTCGATTTAGCAAGCCCATGGTTTCAATTTAAGATCTTTAGTACATGTACGCAATTCCCACACCAGGGTTACACTTAATTATACATGTCTCCTAATTAAATGATAAAAGTCTGGTATATTTCTTACAATTTTAAGTGGCAGGCTCCTTTAAAAAAACCTCTTCATTAGCAATAATTTAAACTGAAATAAACCCCTGTGTCATCATCACTCTAATGTACATTTCCTCGTTGCTGTTCAGGAATGTTTTAACTGTTTTCCAATTTTCCATTGAGGATGTTTAAAATTTAGTAAAGTGACACTATGAGAGTAGACCGTGTCCATTGAAGCTAGCAGAAATTAGAGTGCAAGGTTACAATTGATCGTTGGTCAATTGTTAAATCTATTTAAAAATGCGTAGTAATCATCTACATAAACAAGCTTACGGGTGTCGATTATTAAGAAGTTGACGTGACTGTGTTTGACAATTTTAGGCACGTCTAAAGAACATGTTTGGAAACAGTCCCCACACAACTATTGTCAGCTGAGTAGAGTATTTATAACTTCATAATATTACACGATTACGCTCAGGTACACAATATTTTATTGGTTGTTTCAAACTGTCTGTGGATTTAAACGTAAAACTTAGGAGATAATATCACATCGAAGGAAACTCTATATTCACGGACGTGGAATATTGACATTTTTTGTGTGGAGCTAGCAACACGCAGAATTAGCTCTGTACAGGTAAGGTACGTAGCTAATTTAACACACGGTGTAGTTTTGATGTATTTCTGTTTGTAATCGGACATGACACTTTATGCAACAAAGACAAACATTCATGCAAGGGTCGTCGCCCAAGTTTTACTTATTTAACTTCTCGGATGAAATTACACCCATTCTCACATACATTTAAACTCACGTATACGAATGCATATTTGCAGCTCGCTGCAGGTGTTATTGCATGTCTGCTTTGTGATCATGAATACAGAAAATAGTTTTTATTTCTTTACCTGAGCGTAGCAGTTAACAGCAAAAAATCTCAAATAATTATAATGCGGACGTCTTCATTAAGTGGATATGTGAATGAAAAGTGATAAACGTCGGTCATTAGAGGTGTAAAATTTGACACTTCGAAATCTGTGCTTAAACCTTTTATATCAGTCCAACAGACCGACACTACCCGATCCGACCTCTAGGTGTGTGATAAACCCTTTATCTGGCCATCAGACGAGTATTACATCTGTAAAACGACCCGCTTGTCATCGACCCATCACATCGGTCAGCTTTGTTACAACTGATTAATTCAATGACCTATTTTTGTTTTCCACTCCCTTAAATATCAACCCTTTCACCTGAGACAGTCCAGGTGATTCAGAGGAACTGCACACCTTAATTTCAGGAGAGCAGGTAAATGAATCAGGATATAGGGGAGTTAGTGACTTCCTCTCAGACGTTCACTTCACCAAACCTAGTGTCATCATTTTCTTATTTTGTACAAATTTGTCATGTCGGTAATTTTATCTGAACATCAATCTCTGTCAACAAGAACTCGTGTGAAACACCGAGGTAACTGACTGGTTTAAATGAATATCTAATAAAATCGTTATCCAGAATTCTATCAGGTCAAGTACCCTCCACAGAAAATCTTAGATTGCTTCCCAATCTACAAAGTAAATAATCCCTTTAATTATAATGCAGACTTCCTGTCCAATACGCAGATATAAAGTATTAATCACACCTACACATATACTGTTGGAATTTATCATCTGCTATACTTCATAACAGAAGTATGTCAAATCTCTTCAACATTAATATCTCTCAAAATATTTTTAAAAAATGTCTGAGTCTCTAGTTTAATAAATCTCCTATGATTGTTTTGGTATAATAAAACTGTTATGGAATGGGTACTTGGGAAATATTCAAAATATTTGAACCTCAACAACACCAGAACCTCCACATAAGTCTGTCTGAACCTTATAAAAACCAGAACCAACCTGTATGCCTGTCTGAACCTCAACAATACTAGAATCCCCCCCCCATGTCTGTTTGAATTTCAACAAAAGCACCTCCCTACATATCCACAACAGAACATGTCCTCACATGCCTGTCTGAATCTCCCCCCACACACAACTGAGTCTTAACAACACTGGAGCCTCTATTGCTAAACCTCAACAATACCAGAACCTCCCCACTTTTATGACATCCGCCCAATTTGAACCTTAACACCTGGACCCCCTCACGTGCCAGTCTGCCCAAAACGCATCTGTCTGAACCTCCACAATGCTGGAACCTCACTCCACCTCTTTCTTAACCCCCAACAAGATCAGAAGCTCCCCAATCACGTCTGTCATAACTTCAACACCAGAACCCCACACTTCTGTCTTAACTTCAACAGCACTAGATCCTCCCCTCACGTCTATCTTAACCTCAACAACAAAAATCTTCAAATGCTTGTGTTATTCTCAACACTCAAACCTCTCCACACACATCTGTCTGACCCTCAACCTCCCAACACATGCCTGTCTTAACCTCATTATTTAAAACATTCCAAAACATTGCTGTGCTATTCCCAACACTAGAACCTCCACATACACACCTGTCTTAACCTCAACATAATTAAAACCTCCCCTTACATATCTGTCTTAACCCAAACAACACCAAAACCTCTTCACCTACCCATTTGAACCACAGCAAAATATAAACTCTCCAAAAATCTATCTGAATCTCAAAAACATCAGAACATCCACAATCTTGGCTGTCTTAACCTATATACTACACCACAACCTCCCGCAATCATGTCTGTCTTAACAACACCAGAACCTCCCTAATCATGTCTGTCTTAACCTAACAACATCAGAACCTCCCCAATCATGTCTGTCTTAACAACACCAGAACCTCCCCAATCATGTCTGTCTTAACAACACCAGAACCTCCCTAATCATGTCTGTCTTAACCTACCAACACAGAACCTCCCCAATCATGTCTGTCTTAACCTAACAACACCAGAACCTCCCCAATCATGTCTGTCTTAACCTAACAACATCAGAACCTCCCTAATCATGTCTGTCTTAACCTAACAACACCAGAACCTCCCCAATCATGTCTGTCTTAACCTAACAACATCAGAACCTCCCCAATCATGTCTGTCTTAACAACACCAGAACCTCCCTAATCATGTCTGTCTTAACCTAACAACATCAGAACCTCCCCAATCATGTCTGTCTTAAACTAACAACACCAGAACCTCCCCAATCATGTCTGTCTTAACCTAACAACACCAGAACCTCCCCAATCATGTCTGTCTTAACCTAACAACATCAGAACCTCCCCAATCATGTCTGTCTTAACAACACCAGAACCTCCCCAATCATGTCTGTCTTAACAACACCAGAACCTCCCTAATCATGTCTGTCTTAACCTACCAACACAGAACCTCCCCAATCATGTCTGTCTTAACCTAACAACACCAGAACCTCCCCAATCATGTCTGTCTTAACAACACCAGAACCTCCCTAATCATGTCTGTCTTAACCTAACAACATCAGAACCTCCCCAATCATGTCTGTCTTAAACTAACAACACCAGAACCTCCCCAATCATGTCTGTCTTAACCTAACAACAAAAGAACCTCCCCTATCATGTCTGTCTTAACCTAACAACACCAGAACCTCCCCAATCATGTGTGTCTTAACCTAACAACACCAAAACCTCCCCAATCATGTGTGTCTTAAACCTACAACACCAGAACTCCTCTAATCATGTCTGCCTTAATCTAACAACACCAGAACCTCCCCAGTCAAGTCTGTCTTAACCTAACAACATCAGAACCTCCCCAATCATGTCTGTCTTAACCTAACAACACCAGAACCTCCCAATCATGTCTGTCTTAACCTAACAACACCAAAACCTCCCCAATCATGTCTGTTTTAAACTTACAACACCAGAACTCCTCTAATTATGTCTGTCTTAATCTAACATCATCAGAACCTCCCCAGTCATGTCTGTCTTAACCAAACAACACCAGAACCCCCCAACACATTTCTGTGATCTTAACACCAGAACCTCCCCCATCATGTTTGTAACCTAACAGCACCAGAACCTCTTTAATCATGTCTGTCTTAATCTAACAACACCAGAACCTCCCCAATCATGTCTGTCTTAACCTACTGACACAGAGCCTCCCCAGTCATGTCTGTCTTAATAAAAACTAAGAACCTCCCCAATCATGTCCGTCTTAACCTAACAACACCTGGACCTCCCCAATCATGTCTGTCTTACCCTAATAACACCAGAACCTCCCCAATCTTGTCTGTCTTACCCTAATAACACCAGAACCTCCCCAATCTTGTCTGTCTTACCCTAATAACACCAGAACCTCCCCAATCATGTCTGTCTTAACCTACTGACATAGAACCTCCCCAATATGTCTGTCTTAACCTACCGACACAGAATCTCCCCAATCATGTCTTTCTTATCCTAACACCAGAACTTCCCCAATCATATCTGTCTCACCCTCATCGTCGGAAACCCACGGTCGGTCTTGCTTCTCTTACCTCGAGGTAAGAGAAGTGAGACCGACCGTGGGTTTCTGATGATGTCTTTGCTCGCACATTTTCCTTGATCTTGGATATTCTATTTAATTTATTGGTGCATAGATTACATGCATATGAATTGTGGGGAAAATTTTAACCTTGTAAATGCATAATTATACTGCTGAGTTGATGTTTTAGAGCTTAATGCTCTATATCCCCAGTCCTTTATAACACATAAGCAAAAAGAGCATTCTTTTACGTGCCCCGAGGCTGCCATAGTTTACAAATACTTTCAAACAGCAACACGACATTATTCTCATGGGTGCTGCCATTACAGTATGCCTAATTTGATAACGTCGATTTTCATTGGCCCTGGAAAGGTCACATTAGGTTACGCATATATATCAATGAGTCTAGCAAAATTTTCGGCCATGTGTCCCACAGGAGGTAAGAGACCGACCGTGGGTTTCCGACGATGTCTCACCCTAACAACACCAGAACCTCCCCAATCATGTCTGTCTTAACCTAACAACACCAAAACCTCCCCAATCATGTCTGTCTTAACCTAACAACACCAGAACCTCCCCAATCATGTCTGTCTTAACCTACCAACACAGAACCTCCCCAATCATGTCTGTCTTAACCTAACAACACCAGAACCTCCCCAATCATGTCTGCCTTAACCTAACAACACCAAAACCTCCCCAATCATGTCTGTCTTAACCTACCAACACAGAACCTCCCCAATCATGTCTGTCTTAACCTAACAACACCAGAATCTCCCCTATCATGTCTGTCTTAACCTAACAACACCAGAACCTCCCCAATCATGTCTGTCTTAACCTAACAACACCAGAACCTCCCCAATCATGTCTGTCTTACCCTAATAACACCAGAACCTCCCCAATCATGTCTGTCTTAACCTAACAACATCAGAACCTCCCCAGTCATGTCTGTCCAAACCTAACAACACCAGAACCTCCCCAGTCATGTCTATCTTAACTTAATACATCAGAACCTCCCCAGTCATGTCTATCTTAACTTAATACATCAGAACCTCCCCAGTCATGTCTGTCTTAACCTTAACAACACCAAAACTTCCCAACGCATGTCTGTCTTAACCCAAATACCAGAACCTTCCTACTCCCTAGTCATGTGTGTCTTAACCTAAACAACACCAGAACCTACCCAGTCACTTTCGTCTTAACTTCGACAACACCAGAACCCACCAAATCATGTCTGTCTTAATCTAACAATACCAGAGCCTCCCCAGTCATGTCTGTCTTAATCTAACAATACCAGAACCTCCCCAGTCATGTCTATCTAAACCTAACAACACCAGAACCTCCCCAATTATGTCTGTCTTAACATAGCAGTGCTAGATCCTTCCAAATACCTCCTCAGAACCAGAACTGCCCCAAATGTTTTTCTACTTCAACTCTTACCTAGGACACAGTAAAAAAAAAAATACCTGAATTTCTGCTGAACAAAGATTGATAATAGTGACATAATTCAAAATATAAGGTATGCACATTTGGGATGTTATTCCTCAACCTTCCAACTCCACCCAAGCTAGTTGAATTGAGTAAATAAAAGCCTGTCAAATCAAGCACCATGTGGGCTGACTATTTGCATTGTGCAAATGATGGTATTCTAAGGCATTTTGGTAAAATTCAAGTACCAATCTCACAAAAAATTTCAGGTACAAAGTGTTTTTTATTTACTTAATTCAAGGAAAAACTCTATAATTACAAAATAATTACAATGAAGTGTATACTCTCAAAACATTTACAATGAATGTGTACGCTCTCAAATTAATTACAAAAAAGTGTACTCTCAAATTAATTACAATGAAGTGTACTCTCAAATTACAAAAAAGTGTACTCTCAAATTAATTACAAAAAAGTGTACTCTCCAATTAATTACATGTACAAAAAGTGTACTCTCAAATAAATTACAAAAAAGTGTACTCTCAAATTAATTACAATGAGCAGAAGTGTAATACTCAAATTATTTACAATCAAGTGTAATCTCAAATTAATTACAATAAAAGTATACTCTCAAATTAATCATAATAAAATTATGTTTTCAAATTAATTACAATTAAGTGTTAATAAAATTATTTACAATGAAATATACTCTCAAATTAATTACAATAAAGTCTATGCCCTCGCATTAATTACAAAAAATGTGTATACTCTCTTCATTGAACGCTTTTCCCTTACAAAAATTATTTTTAAAATTTTTTGAAAAAAATCATGTACAAAAAAGAGTGCATTGCAGCTCTCTAAATCATTAGCTTACAGACCTGACACAATAAACATTTTCACAAAATAAGAGGCCCATGGGCCAACATGCTTACCTGACTGGCCTTTTATACACATATTCAATTATTACATGAATACAAAGTACATTATAGTTGCTTGATCAAAATAAAAACAAAGGATTGAAGGAACATTTATGAAAAATTATGTTTTTAACAGTTTTATATATGTACACAAACTAACAGTCCACATACTATCCTAATGCTTACATACTATAGCCACTAATATTTACAATCACCCAACTCTGAAATCAATCTTTAATAGGATCTGTTCCTCTGTATTACTTTTGGTCCCCTCAATGTGGACATCCTTAGCCCCTGGTGGGAGAAGCTCAGCCAGTCTGATGTTAAAACTGCCATGACGGATATCAACATTGGTTCTCAGGTGACATTGTGGGGAAGTATCCACCACAGGACTTTCTTGGGAGGTAGCTTCAGGGTTATTATTGTAATCTAACGCTTCAGTCTTTACCGTAACATCTCCCGACTGGTTGTCTGCTGCACTGGCCGGAAGTACCTCCTGAGAAGGAGCAGTGCAAGACATCTCCTCAATTCGCAGACGTTTTTGAGGAGGAGGGTTGAGTGATTTAGGTGGTGCATGCCTACTTTTATAGATTTTATGCTGCTGAGGAACAGGTCTGTCCTCTTGAGTATTAGTAGGTGCAAGAGAAGTCACGGTGACTACAGGGACTGGTGATGGAAGAACAGGTGTCTCTGGCTGAGGGGGCAGGGGTGGATCCAGTTTCTTGCTGATTTCTTTAAGTATACTGTGGTTGGCAGTGGTGCTTCTTCTAGCACAAAGCACATATTCATATCCAGGACCTGATTTTAAAATACTGTCTCCACATTCCATCAAAAGCCTCAGCGACTGATTGTTGTATGGTTTTCCATGACCTGCACTCCTCATCATGTCCTGAACACAGGATTTAATTTTTTTCTTTTCAAACACCTTATTAGTAAATCCCTCAGTATTATCACACGGTTTTAAGTAGAAGTTTGTTTTATTATATTGAGCAATGCTGTGCAAGTTTTTCTTTAGAAGTTTGTAATATGACCTTGGATTCTCGGGGTCTTCATAATGGATGATCTTACAAGGTATTTCTACCTCATTATTCAAAGTTTTTCTTTTTCTACAGAAGTGCTCTTTATATAAGCCAAAAGATGAAAGCATTGCACAATTCAGCAAAACATATTGTCCACATGCATTTTCTGAAAACTTGAAGAAGTGAGGTTTCAGACTTTGATGATCTTTTGCAGAAGTAATGCCAAATATTTTAACATTATAGAAGTAAATTGCATAGCTGAGTCCTTCATTAGATATTAAATCTAATACATTAACCTGCCATAATTTTTTCTCCATTTCTGAAGTTACATAGTTGTGCTTTACAGCTACCCTATCTGTGATGGTTTGTTTAACTTTACAAGTCAATAATCTATGTTGTTTTATACAGCCTCCTTCCTGTGAATCGAGACATTGTTGAATCTTTGAGAGGATTCGTTTGATGGACTTTCTAGAGGTTGGTCCATTTTTAACTTCAACTTCCTTCACAAACATAGGTACTATAGTGTTTAATTGCTGTGGGGTGAAAGTCCGGAGCTCCTTACACAGAGGAATCACTGGACCCCCCAGGGTCTTATTTCTAGACTCCACCCACGCATCCCAATGTTCAATGGCATTTATTGTGCTGGTGTCCAGGCTCATTTTGTCGATTCTTTGTTTCTTGTAATTACAACATACATTTCTTTTTCAGCAATCAGTTTCTTTCTCATTGGATCATCTGCAAGCATTAAATGCTCTATTTTAGTGCCACCTAACTTTTCATTGCAATAAAGGCTACCCCCAATTTTCTTTTCATTTTTTAAATGAGAATGGATATTGCATAATACGTGAAATGTAAAACATTTCATTATATAAATATATACCAGTATATTTTTTTAATCTGTCAATTCCATTTGCTTATTAGGTGGTTTTTAACTTATAATTCTGTGTAAAACCACAAAAATGGTCCATATTTTGAAAAAGGTTTCATTCCACTACAATCAAGGCATGGTAACAAAATTTCAATCCAATTTTTCTTAGCATGGTACATAAAAATATATGTCTATAATTCAAACATATAATTTACCAGTCCATTTTGTAAATGCCAACTACATAGATTGGGCCTCGTTAAGCAGACAAACTGTAAAGTAATAGAAATATTGTAGCAATGTCTTAACTTAATAAACAATGTGGTGTTGTGTGTGATAGCTTATGAGATTCTACAGCTTGTGGTTATATTATAATATTCCGACAAATTATTGTTTTCTGTAAATTGTTGGAAGATTCTAGTATTGTATAAGTTTTTAACAGCTAGTTTTTAGTATTCTATAAGTTTTTAACAGTTAGATTCTAGTATTCTATAAGTTTTTAACAGTTAGATTCTAGTATTTTGTTGCTTGTTGACAGTTGGATTCTAGCATTTTGTTGCTTGTTGACAGTTAGATTCTAGTATTTTGTTGCTTGTTGATAGTTAGATTCTAGTATTTTGTTACTGGTAGACAATTAGATTCTAGTACATGTATTCTTTAAGCTACTGACAGATTCCAGGCCAAGTTGCTGACAAGTTAGATTTTAGAGCTTTATTAGAGCTCTGCAATGTCAATGATTGTTGTCAGACCAGTGTCTGCTCCTTCATAAAGACATTCTTGGATAATTGCACACACACATTATACGACAACTGTCACAGTCTCCTGTCCATACAGATGTAGACATCAGCCACAAACAAACTCACTAAGCATACCTAACATCAGCCAATATCTTATTTACTCTTCTAAAAAACTCACCAAGCATACCTAACACATCAGTGCTTAGAAACCCCCTCACTTCTTTCATGTATCATATCATGTGGAAGACACAAATATTTTGACATGTTTTCGGTGTAAAGATTATTTTAAATGTGAGTGATGCGGTTTAGACTGTTGTGTTAATAAGAGCTTTCCTGGCATCCTAACAGATACCAGCTGCATTACATCTTTATTTGTATCCATGTTCTCCATTTCTTGAGAATTTATAAGATAACAAAACTGGAAGTGGAGGTCATTTTCTGTTGTATAAACACCCACACCCTTTGCTAAAACAGACTTACAATGCTGTCATTTTAAGTTTTATTGGCAAAATAACTCTGGAGACATGCTGATTGTGGGACTCTCTATTTTTTTTTTTTAAGTATGGATTTGAGATATTTATAACTTGGATATTTATGATGTCACTCTTATCAAGTCTTACTCACAGACGCCTACACATGAATTTTACAGGTGAACAAAGACTGCAAATGTGCTACAAACTGCAGAAATTGGATAACCCACATGCTTATTATCTAAAAAAGTTTTCTTCAAATGATGAAGACATTTTAGCAACATTTAAATCTTTTACTGCCAATTATTTAGTTGTAAACTTGTCCATTTTTACAGACGGCATCTAAAAGGTATTGGGTGACATTCAGATTGTGTTTTTTTTACCTGGAGCCATTAATCACAGGTATCCAAGGCCCCAAGAAATCAGGGGGGGGCAGAAAATTTACATAATCTACACCCTCTCTAATATTCTGCTCGATTTGCTATGCAAAAAGGGAGCTTTGTCAGTTTTCATCACCTTATCGTTTTCCTTACAAGTGTTTTGTTTAAACAGTATTGATTACCTCCAGAGAATTATTACAACTATGCTATTATTTTCTGATTTCACGTAATCCATCTTATTTTAGGAGAAAACAACCTGTCAGACGTCTAACTGGCTCTCGAACAAGTCTTATCCCACAACAAATCTGACTACATGCACTTCGTAAAAAACATGCTATGCAATTCAAATAACATGCAAATTAGGATTTTCTTCCTCCATCAAAAGTAAACACTGTTGTGAGTCACCACCAAGACAAAGTTTGAGATACAGAGTGCCTCTGTTGTCATCTTGAGTAGACAGTGTGTTGGTATTGATTCCATAGTTTGACTCGGATGTCTGGGGCATTATCAACTAACTCCAGTATCTACAACACTAAGTACATACAGCCTTAAGGAAGTTACTGTCGCTGATAATTATTTTAGTATATATTTGTGTGTTCTATGGATTAATTTCAAAATTATGTTGCATATATATGTATCATTATTTATCATAATAATAATATTCTTCTAACGTAATGCATCTGTGAGGCTATATCAACTCTGCAGTTAGATCTCCACAGTTATAAGCGTGTTATGGTAGCAGGGTCACTGCCGTTCTGGAAAGATGTGTTTTACATATGATCTATTGATTCTGTTTACTGTGTGTCTGGTGTTGTGGGGACTGTAAGGTAAGCCAGTTTATGATTTCTCTGGTTTTCTATAATCTTGGAGTATATCAGTTTTTAACTCCAGAATTAATGTATGCTGAATATTCCTAACTCTTCACACCTCTGTCTTATTTTATCTGTTTACTCTGGTGATTCACCTTTCCCTACTGTATACAACTGTTTAATGCTTTATTGTGTGTATATAACCAGTGGGCATTTTCTGAGACAGAGTATCATATTGGTCTTAGCCTTCCTAGTTAGTACCGTGTTAATATTGTACTTAGTCAGAAGTTGTAACCAGGTGTATAAAGGTGTGCAATACCTGTCTAATTCTGGACTTTCTGCATTGTTTTCACACAGGTAGGCAAGTCTCTGACATTCACATAACAGGTTTGCCTGTCTCACACATTCTACAAAAAATACAAAGAATTATTACATATGCAAAGGTAGTAGTCTTTTTATAGTAGTGAGAATTTCTAAGGATTCTGCCAAATCAAGTCAAGGGGTCTTCAAATAATTCTGTTGCCTGATCACATTCATGGAGGAAAAATCTTTATAATCTCTCTGTTTAGCTTGAATAAATTCAAATTATATAATCTGACTGCATACTACTAGACTCAAAGTAAAAAATCAAGTAATTAAGGATATAATTTGGAATTCCAGGTAACCTGCATTAAGGATATAATTTGGAATTCCAGGTAACCTGCATTTTAATTTTTAGTCAAAGTTGGCCATTTCTTCATAATGTTCCTTTCTATTTGTACTGGAGCAGAGATAATTATAATAAATACACTCTGAGCTTTGAAGTTTAAATGAACCCTGATGTCAGAGATGTCAATGTCAGATCTCAATGCCAGATGTCAATCTCTGATAACAAGATTTCTATATCAGAATGTGGACCGATGAAAGCATTTATACAATTGATTTGTGATAACAATTAGCAGGTAACTATTCTATATGCTGATATCTGTAGCCAGTTTACTTTCAACAGTGACAAAATTCAAATGGACCACTGATCCATGTATCTGCATGTGAACCCCTTTATATAAACCCAGCTTCTGTATAAAACCTTCATGTAATGAGTTACATATCTGTAATAGAAGTATCTCTCATCATAATAACCATCTGGTACTGGATAATCACAACCTCTGTGTAACATTCTCTGGGAAACTCCTAACAGATTAAATGCAGATCAGAGTTATTTAGAAATAGTTTATGGGTTAACAATGTGTAAAATTGTACTTATCAGAGTTATTTAAAAATAGTTTTCAGGTTAACTATGTGTAAAATTATACTGTCATCAGAGCACATGGCATGCAGGATATGAATTTAGCAATGTATTTTTTTTTTTTTTGTGCTGTGGTTAAATATTTTGTTGAATGTGGCCATTATCCCTGTGAGTGTGTTTCCTGACATTAAAGGCTGCATCCATCTTTATCTTGATAAAGGCTACAGACAGATAGATGCCCTCCATCAATCACCAGTAGTTCTCAAGGTTCACTATCAATACACCCCCATAAGCTAATGTACACAGCTAAACCATCTGTGGAGCTCAATAGACAGGTTACACAAACCAGATGTGGTGGCCAGAGTTACTACAGATTCTGTGTATAGTACTCCCAGCACTGCTTCAGTGACCATGGGCTCATCAGGTCACAGTTAGGTGTTGAAATCAACTGTCTGTATTCATGTCACCTGTAATATGACCGCTTTAATGGTGCTACCTGAGAGCACACACCTTCTCTGACATGTCAGGCATTCTAGTTATTTAATTCACAAGAATTTGATTTTCTGTTGGATTTGTCAGTTTTATGTGAATTGAGTGCTTCCCAGATGCTGTTTTTATTGCTGACTTCTGTTTCTGAATTTTGTGTACTTTTTTTTTTTGCCTCATTCCCTGCCTACTTAAAACAAACATCATAGAATCTAATTTATATCTGCCATGAATCACACACCAGGATCTAAGGAGGTTAAAAATAACCCTCTACCATTCAGACTTTTTAACATTACTGATATTAAACCTTTTTTTTCCCTGCACTGGAAACAAGACATTGACCTTCATAAAATCTAATGAGTAAATAGTTATTCCAACTAAACCTCCAGTGAAACATCTAGATTGTCACAAAATCTGATATAAACTTTGGGATAAAGTTAGTTAGTTACTGTTTCTTGCATTCAATTTTTTGACTTTTGTGTAGTAATTTTATCTTTCCTGAAAAAAGTAATACATGTACATTTAACTCCATAATTATAATAGATTCTAAACTATTTATATGATTACTAGTCATATTAGGGTGAAAGAAAGTAATTCATGAAAGTTAACTCTTCAAAAATGAGATAATGATTATAGATTCTATTTGAGGCATATAAGAGGGAAAAAAAAGTATTTTATGTATATATAACTTTAGAATTGGGATATTAAATTATATATAACAGACTGTATAAATGCTAAAAGTAGGCACTGATTTTTCCAACACTTTTAACTCCAATTTGCCAAATAATGACCTGTTAATTGTCTGACAAAAGAGAATCAAGTGGAACACAATATGTTCTATCATTGTAAGACATTTATCACTCTGTTTTCTCAGAACACCTTGGTGTGCTAACTTCCTAGTGACATTTTCACCTCAGGGGAGGTAATGCTGTTTCTACCTATAAGTGATGATTATCTCCCCTGGAGGCACCCACACAATGATAACATTATGTAACACATGTTTCTTCTGTACAACAAGTGTCACAAAAAAGTGGAGAAATAATAGCATTATATGTTGGGATGTTTATAAAATGACTTACATTGAGGTTTGTAACTAGTACTTTAATTATTAAGTGTAATTTAATCCTTTATACCTATACATCAGTATCATAACGATATATCTATATACACTTATTAAAATTTCCTAATCAAACTGGTGTTCAGACTTAATATCTAGACATTTGGTGGATTGCATGAAGGGAAAATTAGTCCTGGTTCCAGGGTACTTTCCTCAGGATGTTAATTATTGGTAAATAAGATGACATTATAATTCCCCCTCATCAGCCAGGGCTGAATTGACCCTTTTTGGTAGTTTCCTGTACCCTTTCATTGTTTCAATCAGGAATTTCAAATTGAAAAAGTGGCTAAATTTGAAAATATTGGCATGTATATTATGTCTTATTGTAGATTAAGGGGTTAGATTGTAGGCTTATTTATAAATCATTATAATCTCAAAATTCAAGTTTTATATAAAAATCACTGAAAAATACAATCTGTTATTTGGAATTTTTTACTTTAATTTTGGGGGGAAAAAAGACTCAATTTTTAATTGGGACATTTAGATCCTATTACTGGACCTGGATGCAGTGAATATTAAGACCTGTAATCTCAGAAGGACTGACAATACAAATGACTGGTACTTAAACAGTTCCTCTTCAGCACTTAAAATAGGATTATATTAGCACAGGCACCTTAATTTTACTGAGAAGTCACAAACCCTATATCAAAACCTTATGCCCCATATAATTTTATTAAAAGAATGGATTTGTTGTATTTTTAATCAAGGGCTTTATTTACATCTTATTAATAAAATTTTAAGTGCCCTTCAACTAAAAGAGGGTTTTGCTGGGGGAATGACAATTTTACAGGAATATCAATTGTCTCTAATAAGAACTACTATATATGAATAGAAGATAAATCGAATGCTCAACATTAAAATGATAATGTCAGTGGTAAGGCTCAGAGTGACAGAATAGCTCATTTTGAATATAATATCCCAAATGGGATATACATTTACAGTGCAAAAAATTAGAGACAAGTCATTTAACTAATACAGGGTTTGACCCTAACAGTAGCCCGCTAGCCCATGACAACTGAAATTTGGGCTACTTAGTGAGCCATCAAGCAGGCTTGTCCTGCGGAGATACTGAAATTTTAAATACTGCACACTCACTTATGCAAGATTAATAAAAAAAAGTACAAAATCCACATTTGTTAGTGAGGTTTAAGGAATGCCGTTTGAATCATCACCAGACAAATTGAACTGTTGATTTTCTTTTTGGCTGAAGTATGTTGTTCTGGTCTGACCTATCAATAATTTTTATCACCAAATGTTTGAAACTCTGATGTGTAAACAGAGAATACTGTTACAAGCAATGCACTGATGTAGATGATGAATTAACCTTGAAAAGTGAGGTTTATAAAATAAATAGTGGAATCTTTCAATAATGAAAAATGTCTATAAAGGGGCATAATTTTGCCCAAATTCAGAAAAATCAGCCAGAAGGCAGGATTTGTTTTCAAAATTTTACAGGGGGAAGCCCCCATACCCCCACCTCCATAAAACCCCCTCTCGCACCTACCCCCCTCATTGCTTTGTGACTTGGCCAGAGACTTTGGCTGCTGGACAACATTCAACAATTCGTGAACAGGGCTAGTCAGAATTACCAATTGCTAGCCCTACAGGCTTTAAAGTTAGTGTCAAACCCTGCTATAAATGTTATAAATCATCAAAATATTTAAAAAGCAATAAAATTTGACAAACAAATTTTTGTGTATCCCATCTGTTTAAGAGATTGATTCCTCGGGAAATCATTTAGATCTAACTTCTTGCACTGTCAATTTATGTCCACATTTTTGGGTTATATTCTGTTCTAACTTAGATCTATGTAAACAGTAGAAATCAAGATTTTTTCCCCACACATGCCTATTACTACCAACCTTCTACGATTACTGTACTTGTAAGAAATAACCTGATTATGTTCTCTACACAGTTCCCGCTCTGTGACGTCATGAATCCGGGATGTTTCGCGCCGATTCTATTTCGCACTGAGATGGTTCGCGCCAGGATGATTCGCGCCGATTTGGGCGCGAAACATCTCACGTTTTATTTTAAACATTTCATCACATTTTCATCCGTTTTAAATTATTTATCTCAAATAGGATATAAATATTTTGTGTGCTCAGATTCATGACTTAATAACGTCTGCTAAAGTTAAGGATCGTACGGTGCCCGTTTGCTCAGCGTGTCTGTTCAACAATTCAACAGTGTTTCAATGAGGATTTAATTGTAATAAGTTGGAGATCAAAAAGAGAGAATTTAAGTTGATATGTGGGTTGTCCAAGCCAGCAATAATTACTTAATTAGATGGCGGTATTATAATATATTATCTACTTATACGTATTTAGCACGGTGTTATAATAATTCATAATTATGCTATGTATGTATACTTCAAACACAGACATAAATAATTTACGTCTCTGCTTCAAATAAAATCTTCTTAAATTAAAAAAAAATGTTCCAAAAATATCTATATTTACATATATTTAAAATCTAAAATGTTGTTAAATGAACTATAAACTCAGTAGCACATTTATTTGTGAAACATCGTGGGGCGAACCATCTCAGCGCGAAACAGAATTGGCGCGAAATATCGGGGGGCGAACCATGCATAGGTGCGAAACATCCCGTTACCGACGTCATGACTCTCTTTAGGTAGGTCGTACATAAGAACAGTCTCCTGAAGGCTGAAAAAAATTAAATTCGGTGAATAAATTGATGTTCTAGTTTTTCAGAAACTATTATCTATATATGTAATGCACAAAAATTTATTCGTCGTCAATGTCTATCAAAAATTTGCCGTTTTGGATTTCCCCACCTGCGGAGACCTTCACCTTTATTTTACAGAAGCTTGGAATTTTGGGAAGGTTGTGATGTCATAGTTTGCTATACAAGCTCGCTTGAACGGGAGAGAAATTCAGGGGCATTCTTTAATTCTTGTTTCCGGTAGGTTTTGATTTTGTTACGCTCAATATCATTATATCGAACAACTATACCTATTGATTTCTATTTTGAGCATAGTTATCTTTAGTACGTGCGTGACCTAATTTGTGTTATTTTGAATTTGCTGAGGCATGGCGGGGTAGGCCTCTTTGATAGTGCTTCAAGCATTGTTTACACACACGTCTGTACGATATCGGCGTTAAGCTTAATTTTGGTAAATATTGTAATATCACATATGAGTCATAATGATCTTAATATTGATAGACCTTTGTACTTGAAGTGAGAATATTCTAAGACCTGTCTTCTGAGAGACAACCAGCCTCTCCCCCAGGGCTCTTCCGATTTGACTCCTGCTGTGTTAATTACCGAGTTCTTATGTGTCATATAGTTCAACTATTTCCTTGACCGTCAATTGATTCTAACAGTAGTCATTACCTTGTCGATGTGTTTTCACTTTCAGTGTTTTTTGATTGATTTCAGTATGTGAATTGTGATTATAAATAAATTCACAAAGTGTGGCCAGAAATATGTTCTGCATGTAATTATAACATTGGTTGTGATTTAGTGTTTATTAAGATGGATTATCTTTACACATTATAGGTAGAATAAACTACATTGGATCTATTTAAAAATTCTGTAACCTTCATAATATTGGGACTGATGAATTGTCTCCATTTTATTTGAAGATGTGGAAGTGTATTTTAATAAGTGTGGTAAATTAGGACAGTGATTTTTCTACAATTTTTAAAAGGGGCCTGTGCCTTTTCAATTGGGAAAAATTGTCGACATTTGTGTCAAATTGGGAAAAAACAATAAGATTGTAATTAACCTTCATATTGACAAGTAAAATAAAATAATAAGTAAATGTAATATCATTTATTGAATTTATTTGCTACAAAATTTTTCAAGTTCAACAAAATGGACAGTTCTACATTTTAATTTTCTTTCATTTTTGTATTTTGATTGTCCTATAGATATTCTTTTTTTTTTTTACCATTATGGTAGAATTATAAATTGAGAAAAAAAATCATTCCCGATTTCTCGTTATTGCTCGCATTGGAGATGGAATAATCTTGACACTATTTACAAGCATGTATTGCTGTATCGCATATTTCTCTGCAATGCCAGTCTCTGCAGGATGAAGAAACAGTTTAATTTTCGTGAAATCAAGGACACTTGTTGTAGAACTACTAGTACTTGCAAATTACAAATAAAGCTATGCTTAACAGATTCACATGCATATTTAAATTTCTTACGATGTATTGACACAAAAGTTTGACTTCCACATGATCGATTTTCCAAGTCTTGCAAACACACAATTAAACTGTTGTTTTTCGCCGTTATTTTAAGCGTCCGAATGACCAAAAACAATAGCGTTCCATTTTAGATAAGTCGTACATAAAAAATTCAATTAAACCAAAACAATACGTTTTGATTTTGGGAAAAAAGCAGTTGAAAATTGGGAAAAAATCGGTAATTTTTAAGAGGGGAAAGGGCCGATATTCGGACCTAAATTGAGTGTAGAAAAATCACTGTAGGAGATTTAATTCTTTGTTGTTTTTTCAGGATAGAAAGGATTCAGTGAATCGGGAGAGTAGAGAGACTGTAAAACCGACACAGCATAAATCTAACAAGATGGTGCTGTGTCGTGTTCTCCTTTTGGATGGAAATGACTTTGAAACAGACATCAATGTAAGTGAATCAAACAAGGCATTGTTCATTTTCTATGAGTGAGACACCATCAGAGGAGGTTTAGACATGTTTTATGTGAAATTTAAAAAAAAAGATGATCAATACAAATTTCATGGATTAGACAGTTTATTCCAATATTAATTGTGCACCATTTTGGATAATGAAAAGTTAACTGAATAATTTCTCTTTAAATAATTCCAACTCTATATTTGTTGAGGGCTATCCATGTTAGTAATGTTTCATTTATTCTAAGCTAACCATGAAATTGATGTAAGCAGGATTTGTTTTATGACATTGTGTATATTGATATGATTCTATGAATTTCAATTCCTGACAGAATTTTTCTGAATGTTTATTAATCTTTGCTGTAGTAAAGTGTAGTAAAGAGGAATAACTCTTACCTTTGTTTCTTTAGTCAGTATGGTAAACGCTTAGAATTCCCTTTCTTAAATTACCAGAGAAACTTAGGAATATTACGTGCTTAAGTAAATTAAGGCCTTAACATTGTTTGCTACCTTCTGAAGATTGGTCTAATGAATTTTTTGTGATTTGTAGAGGAATGCAGAGGGAAAAGAATTGTTTGAAGAAGTATGCAAAAAGTTGAACATAAGTGAAAAAGAATATTTTGGTCTGACGTACACCGGTGCTCAAGATGTAAAGGTATGTGTTCATGAGTTATCTGTCAGCCTTTACATGAATTGTCTGTTATCCTTTACAGGAATTATCTGTCAGCCTTTTCAGGAAATATCTGCTCACTGGTCATGATATTATCTGTTAAACTGTACTTGAGTTGACTGTCAACCTGCACCTAAATTATCTATTAACCTATTCTTGAATTACAGCAGTAATTTAGTTAATAATCTGTTTGTTATGATTATGAGTATGTAACTAAGTCCTCTGTTCAGATTTCTATTTTGTTTGCACATAAGTTTACAGTTATATATGTTTAAATTTAAATAATTTTTTTATCACAGTATTGGCTCAACCTTGAGAAGAAAATTTCAAAGCAGGTGAAAAGTAAGTACAGTTTATTGTTTAGTATTATTTATAAGATCATTTGACATTGTATAGCATTGTAAAGTGATGTGACATTGCTCTACAGAAGTACATAGAGGTAATTAGTATGTAGATAGTTTTCCATTGAAGCAATTTTGGAAAGAGTTATTTCCCCATGGCCACAATATTGTAGGTCAACATCTCCCTGATTCCTTCTTTGTTCAACGAAATTGAACTTGTTATGCTGGTGCTGAGGTGTAGATAACACTATTTTTTTGATGAATATATGCTTGTTAAAGCATCTCTGAATTCCTAATTTCAATATTGTTAATATTTTCCCCCTGTATATTTCTGCCATACATGTTTAAAATTGGTTGTTCAGCCCACTACCTTGTCCTACAAGATGGCGTCCAAGGGGAATAACCCAGAGGCAAATATGTCATAGGAAAACCATCTATACCTGGTAGTGGGTTAGAAATTGCTCCATTGTAATTTGTTCTGCCTAAACTTGGCTTTGGCAACAAGAACCTGTCTGTGTTCTTAATATAATTCAGATACAAAGACACTTGTTCATTGATAAGAAAAGTCATTTTTGGGATAGAGGGAATTCCATCCTAAAGTCTCCCGTAATAAACGTGTGTTTATACCTGCTGTTTGAATTTAGTGTTAATACTATGTTGATTTGTTTGTAGGTGGGACCTGGGTTTTTGAGTTTGCTGTCAAATTTTATCCTCCAGAGCCTTCCCATCTTCATGAAGACATAACAAGGTAGGATTATGACATGGTGAATTAATCTGCTGGACAGTGAATGTCATGTTGAAGTGAATCTTCAGTTGATACTCTGAAAGTGTAATAAATATGGACTTTATGAAAGTTCAATGTAACAACATTAGAAATGTTGATTTAATGTCCCATTTTTAAGCTATTTACAACAGACAATCATCAATAAAAATTGTTGAAATTTTCTTGACTGGTCATCAAAATAAGTAGCAGTTTACAGAAACACATCATCTTTTAAGGAAGCGAAAATTTTCTTTTTTTTGAGACTGTGATATATGTGGAAGCATCAGGGAAGAATTGATAAGACTTCATAAATGTTTTTCTTTTTTCTTCAGATACCAGATTTGTTTACAGATCAGAGCAGATATTTACAATGGAAAGTAAGTAATATTTTGATAGGTACATATCTTTTACAGTCAGCTACGGAATAAGTCTCTATATTAGCGTGCTCGTTTATGACCAACGTTATATCTCTGTACTGACCACTCTTTGTAGGTTGCCTTGCTCGTTTATGACCCACGCTATATCTCTGTACTGACCACTCTTTGTAGGTTGCCCTGCTCGTTTATGACCCACGCTATCCTGGGTTCCTACACGGTGCAAGCAGAGATCGGGGATTACGACCCTCAAGAAGATGGCCCTGATGATGAATATCTGAAAGCTTTCGATTTCGCTCCACAGCAAACTCCAGAGCTGTCACAAAAGATACACGAACTACACAAAACACACAAGTAAGTTAGAACTACACAAAACACACAAGTAAGTTATTTCTATAATGCATAAGTTGTACTTAATTACTGGTAGAAATATACTGTTGTTGTTTATATGTGTTTGGAATTGATGGAGTATTTGTGTATGTAACATAGCAGTAATGTTGTCCATTTTGATTTTTATCTTTGCAGGGGACAGACTCCTGAGGAGGCAGAATTAAATTTCCTGGAAAATGCGAAGAAACTTGCCATGTATGGTGTTGATCTGCACAAAGCAAAGGTAGATAACCACTTACAATGCAGCAATTATAGCACAGAAATAGATTATTGAGGGAATGTTATAGGCAAACTTAGTTTGTGATTACATCAGAGAAATAGAGGTTCCAGGAAATCAGATATGTTACAAAACGAAGTTTGAAGAGTTTGACTTTGAATGTTTAATACGCAGATCTTACTTAAAATATATATATACATACATGTATATGTTTAGTTAAGATGTTTAGCCACTTCAGTACATGTACATGTATATGATGATGAATTTAGATTTGCCTATATATACATAGGTATACTGAATGAATAAAGATGCCAAGGTGAAATGTGTGGGAGACATTGTGTTAATTTGACCTTTAACCTTTGCAGGATTCCCAGAACCAGGTCGTTATGTTGGGGGTGTGTTCCAGTGGGATTCAGCTCTACAGAGACAAACTCAGGATTAACCGATTTGTCTGGCCTAAAATCATCAAACTTACATATAAAAGAAACAACTTTTACATCAAAATCCGACCATCAGAGGTTAGAATTGGTTCATCCTGTTACTCATTAAAACTTAAATAAAATGAAATAGAATTATCCATGTTTAAAAGGGGTTTTTTTTGTTGATAGGATCAATGTTCTTTTCATTGCAGGGGGAACAAGAAACAACATTATGTTTTAAATTAGATTCACATAAATTAGCCAAAAGATTATGGAAAACCTGTGTAGAACATCACACCTTCTTCAGGTTGGTAAACTATAACTCAACACATTAAAACACATCTTCCCAAGTCCACGGTTTTTAATGCACTCCACTTAAACCCTTGACCAAAAAGACTGAGTTTGGCGGTTAGAAATGCGCTCTCTGATTGGCCTCATAAAAGTTTGCATGAGCCAATCAAAAGCAATTTTTTATCTAATCTGAAACTAAATCATAAACGGAAAAACATGCCAGTTTTAATCCCTACATAACGTCTACTGTTAAATAACCAGATCAAAGGCTTGTCTCAGCGTAGGACTTTAAGTTATGCTAAATTTATTACGGACTTTCAATATTGTCTGGCATTCTCTGATTGGTCAATAGCCGAGGTCAAGAGAATTCAAAATATCTAATCTCACTTGATGGCGTGACAGTAAACACTGTCAAAGTCAGTCTTTCTGTCAAGGTTTATGTGGAGCAGAGTGGATCAGAAATCTTTGACTTGGGAATATGATCTAAACACAGTGATATTAAATTCTTGTGTATGCTGCTCTTACAACCTTTTATTTTTTTAATCACAGATTAAAGGAACCAGAAAACAACAGTACAGGTACCCTGATTCCACGATTTAACTCAAGGTTCCGTTATTCAGGAAGAACACAAAAACAGATCAGAGAGCAGGAGGACTTGATTGATCGCCCTAAGGTGAAGGTCGAGAGGCGGGGCCTAGGGAACAGTTTCCGCATGCCTAGAGATGCCGAGGGTCACATCATCAGACATAGTAAGTCACCTACCTATTTCTAAGTTTTTTTTACCTGGCAACCCCAAAGGAAGCAATTTCAGGGTTTTTTTGGGGGGGGGGGGGTGTCATTTTCACTTGGAGGAGGGGGACTACTAAGGGGAAAAAGTTCATCAGAGGGACACCATTGAGGAGGCACAAGTATAAAGTAGTCATGTTTTCCTTAGTATACTACATATTGGCAAAATTATTGGGGGGCATAGTCCCCTTCAACTCCTACTGACCTCATGTCATTTATTTAGTTTTGGACCTCATAAGTCATGTATTCATTTGTAGGAGATAATAAAATCATGAGATCTTAAAAGTCACTTATTTAGTACACTTACAGGAGGAAAAAAAATTGAAAAATATGTATTATTCTTTGGAGGGCTTCAGACTTGAAATTACCATTATGATAACATTTAGCTGAAATACATGTATTTGTAAAGAGTTGAAAATGAGGCAGCTGTTTTTGTTTAACTAGATGCAGATGGTCAGAATGATGCCTATGACCGTACAGATAAATTGACGGGACACACAGATACAATGTCTAGTGGTCCTCCCCCTTACAGTTCAATGGACCGTGGAGACAAAAGCCACAGAAAGCATGGGGAAACAGAGGCTGATCAACCAGACACGACGGAAGACCGACGCGATAAAATGCTGGGAAATCATGTATACTTATTTCCATTATATTTACACAGAAAAAAAGATAGCAATTTTATTGTAGTGCATTTTAAACAAGTTATTTTTCAAAACTAAATTAATGCAACTTATTTATATAATGCAATTCACATATGACGCTCATCTTTATTTGTACTCCCTCTACCTATATTCTGTGAATTGTCATCCCAGAACTTATGGTATGCATTTTCTCTTGGACAGGAGAAGACAGAGGGCATGCCTGGGGAAGGCGGGGATGCTGCTACGTTAGAAGGGGTTGGGGCACTTCATGGAGGCAAGAAATCCAAGGAAGACAAGGAGCGAGAGAAACGAGAGAAAGAAGAGGAAAAACAGAGGAAGAAAGAAGAGGAGAAGGAACGTAAGAGATTGGAGAAAGAAAAGAAAAAGCATAAAGACCACGCAGAGGACAGGACCGATATAATGGTGAGCAGGAAAAAAGTCAATTTCTATCTGATAGTTCTTAAAGAAATCAAAGCTAACCGTTTGATGATTTTTTTTTATATAGACTTGTAATTATTTCTCAAAACATTGTACCTGTGTGTTGTGAACTGAGCAAGTACTTTATGTACAAGTATGCATTTCAGTGGCTAAATTTTAATAAAATAAATAATTTGTGTTTCTAGGGAGACCATCATGCCACAGAGACAGCTATCAATGGAACCTCTGGTACAATGGGACTGGACTCGGTAAGAATCTACAAACGTATCACTGATGTTTTGTGTGATTCACAACAGAGAGTTCTGTTAATTTAAATTTTTGTGTTTCTTATTGTAAGGAAATGTACATTTTTCCTATCAGGTTTGTAAGAAGAGAGGCCTCCTTGTTTCTTTTGAGTATGTCCATCACCTGTTTTTAATGTTGAGTTTTTTTATTCACCTTTGTAAATATAAACAGGATGCTGTTGTACTTGGAAAGGAAGGCAATAATGAGAACGCCCCCAAATCTGGAGGCGAAGAAACCGCCCCTAAATCCGCCCCCAAAGAGGGAGAGGACCTTGAGCATGTTAAACATGACAAGGCCCATGACAAGCATAAGGATAAGAAAGAACATAAAAAGGGGGGAGGGTTGTTTGGCATGCTTAAGAAAACGCCATCTAAAGGGAAAGGTGACAAACACAAGTCCACGGAGACTGAAATAAACAACAAAGACTCGCCAACAGACAAAACTACAGACAGATATAACCAGGTTATCAGTCACAATTTCTAAGCAACGTTGCTTGGTTTCTAATCCCAGAAATGCTTTTGTAGAGTAGATAAAGCACACATTATAGAGATTATTATGGTACACCCTGTATAAAGTATTATGGTACACCCTGTATAAAGTATTATTAGTACACCCTGTATGGTATAATAAGCGTAACCCAGATGTTATCTACAGATTACATGTCCAACAGCTTTAGGCCTTTGGTGTGGTCTCGGAACCTCAACTGCTGCTGGGGCTGCCTCTATCTAGGAATGCTGCTTACCTCTTTTATTTTTTTCTGCATGAATGCAGTGGTCCCACATTGCTTTTAAATATTTCTTTTTTTAATATGTAACCAAAAAAGTTGTTGAGGTTCAAATTTTAATGATTAGATTTATATTTTTGTATAGAGTACATGTATGTTTTTTGCTCCATGTGTGTTTTTGTGGTGTTTGAGATCAAACTTTTGAAATGATAATCTTTTTTTTTTTCACACATTTCTATTTCAAATGAAAATATGTGTACATTCTAACAAAGAATGATTGAATGGCCATGAAAAGTAAATCTGGGATGATGTATCTTCAAAGCTGACATTTCAGCACAGAACTTTTAACAAGCAAGTGTGCATGTTATTAACTATGTATGAACTACACAATTGTCTGTCTTGAGAACTCCACTTTTCTCCAGTTGTAATAATCTCTGCATGAAGTAGGATGAACATTCCAGGAATCAACCAGAGACCAGTCTCTGCATGAATAAGGACTTCCATTCATACAAGGTCTTCCTAACTCCTGCATGAGCTGAGATGATTCATCTAGAGAATTATAGCATGGAGAGAAAGTGATGGACAACCTTATCTCTTTTGCATGTGTGTTGACTGTCTGAAGAGAACAGAAAATGATTTACTGAAATTTCTATTTATTTTCTCAGGAAAACAAAAATGAGAAAAAAGATAAACAAAAGTCTGGTCTTGTTCCTGAAGAGAATATAGAGGATGAAGTGTTTGCAGAGTCGGACTCTGTAAAACCAGTCATTGAGTCGAACTCTAAGTTAGTGAGTGAAGTAAAGGGGAACGAGAGGAAAAGTTCCTCCTCTTCCTCCAGCAGTGATGAAGGGGAGGTATTGCTGGAACACAGAAGTTCTAGAGTTATAGAGGAAGAGATCATTGGCCCATCCTCCCCAACTCATGGTGAGTGTTCAGCTATTCATTTTGATGAAAACTCAATCCCAAGTGGAGAGGATTTGAGTAAACTCGAAAACAAAGCTTGTGTTAAGGTAGTGAATGACCTTGTGTTAGAAAACAACCAGCAGTCTGCTTCTCAAGAAGAGGAAGTGCATAAAAAAGGAGAGCAGAGTCCTAAAGTAGAACTCAAAGATGAAGTTATGGTTAAGGAGAGAAAAGTTGAGATAAATGTTGAAGTGAAGGATAAACTGTCTTCAGATTCTACTGTGACTGAGATCTCCAAAACAACTATAGTAAGTGTTAATACTCCAGTCAGTAGTGATAAATCAGAAGTGACGAAATCAGAGGAAAAGTCCAAGACTAGAGAGGAGGTGTGTAAGGAACCTGAATTGCCTCCAGAGGTGTGTGTTGTCCTCACTAATGAGGAGGCAGGAAAGGAAGACACTAGTGACAACTCAAAGATTGAGGAGAAAAAAACAGTGGAGGTCAGTAAAGAGGAAAAAAAGAGACAAAAGGAGGAGGAAAAAAGGAAAAAGCAGGAGGAAAAAGAGAGGAAAAAACACAAACAAGTGGAGAAAAAAAGGAAGGAAAAGGAAGAAAAAGAGAGAAAGAAAAAAGAAAAATTAGAAGCAAAGAGGAAAAAGAGTGGGAAAGAGGAAGTGGAAGAAAAACAAGAGACACAGGATAAGAGTGAGGCTGTTCCTTCAGTGGAGGAAGGGAAGGAAACAGGGACAAAGGAGATTGTGGAGGAAACCAAATCTGTGACAAAAACAGAGAGTGGGGAACACTCAAAAGATGTAAATGTGAAAATTAAGGTTTTACCAAAGAGTAACACTGACACAAGTTTGTTAGGACAGGAAGTCTATGATGAGAAATCAAAAGATCAGGAGGACAAAAGAAAAGAAAAAGAGGAGGAGGAAAATGTGAAGGAAAAGCAGGAGGAAAAAGACCAGAAAAATAAAAAATCTAAGAAGAAAAAATCTCTTACCAAGAAAAAGTCAGAATCCAAGAAAAAGTCTTCCACAGGCTGCTTTAGTTTTGTTAGACATCACAAATCATCCGATGATGAAAATGAGGCAGCAAGGATAGAACTCCCAACAGAGCCATGGCAATCCGAGCAAAAAGATACACAGGAACCGGTACTGTATAAAGTTAAAATTACTGAAATTTGATATCACTTATCATATGTATCAAGTAAGTAATGATGTATGATGATACTTTAGGAGAAGCCCCCCGAGGAGCCAGAAGTGAAGACTCCCCCCAGACAGGTGCCCCCTCATTGTATGCTGGGCATGTGTCACTCACGGCATGACTTTACACACGGCTAACTATCACTGTTGTAATGAGTTAGTATGCTCTGTCATATTAACAAACAAATCATCATCTTCCTGTTTCATCTATTAGTTTAAGAAAACAGTAAGAGATTGCTGATATGCATTTTGTTTCTTCTAATATAGAACCTCAGATAACGGATCTATCATATTTCATTTGATTTCTGTTGTATCTTTACATAAGCCTTTCTTGTTCATAACTAAGATTGACTATTGGATAGATTAGAGAATAAAGCTTGTGTTTTAAAATACAACTGACATTTCTAGGTATTTTACAAAGTTGTTGTCATTAATCCACATTTCTTTCAACTGTCATTGATCTAACTGTCACATTTCTCTCCTTGATTGTCATTAATCAGTCAATATTTCTTTCCTTGATTGTCATTAATCAATTAATATTTCTTTCCTCAACTGCTCATTAATCTAACAGTCACAGTTCTCTTCTCCATTGTCATTCTGCATATGAAGAAATAGTCCTCATCTGCATGAGAATATCCAGATCATCATTTGAAGCGTGAATCCACATTAAAATCAACAAATACAGCCAAAGCATGAACTCAAAAATGTATCTTAAACAAGTTTAATATTGGTAAATGTTGTACATGATAAATTTCGTTTTATGTCAATGTGCTACATGTATATATAAGAACAAGAGGATAAGTCTAAAAGATAAGTGTATATTGATGACCAATATAAGTATTATCTGTACTATGTGACCTTGACCTTGTGAGGACTTGTCTTTCAGAAAGGAGGAGTAGGGATGGGCTGGGCACTGCCCGGAATGAATGAGTTAAAGGACCGTAAAGCTAAGGTCAGCTCGCATGTTACAGCATGGACGTTATAAAGCATGACTGTTATTTTATTGAGAGTCCCTTAGTAAAGAGAGATGTCAGTTCATATTTACCACCAAGAGTGAGATATGTTGCCTAAGTTCATGTGTACTAGTACTACTAAGCATCAGAGATTGTCATGTCATAGGAGATTTATTGTCAGTCATCAGCCCAATGTCAGTATAATTCACACTGTGTGTAGAGATGCAAAAAGTAATGATACGTGTAGAATTCCCTTGTCTTATTGTAGTAGAAATTGGTAACATTAGTAGCTGCTCTGTTTTGATAATTATACCCCTTATGTGGTGGCTCTAGAATTCAATCTGCATCCAATATGCAAAATGTATTACATTTCTAAAGTGGCACATATTTTTTCCTTATTAATTTATGTATTGATGTTGAAAAGCTCGATTCCATTTTTCTAAACATGTAAACACCATAAAATAAAGGTGTTTGTTGATGATATTTTGCATTTTGTTTTATGTTGTATGTATGATTGCTTTTATGTTTGTTAGAATTTCACCTTAATTATTCATTGATACTAATTAACAACAAAATAAAGGATGGTCCTTTACTTCAGCCAGAGGAGCCCTCAGCTACGACATCCTCACCTTCATCCTCTTCTTCTGATGAGGACATATCCCATCATGCAATTCTCGACGATGACATAGAAGAGGTTTGACTGCCAGTGATTGGCTGATTGCATGTCCCTTTCTTCATTTCATGGCCTCATTTCTTCTCTATATTTCATTCATATTTTCTACTTTTACAATGTTTATGTCGGATGTCTGTTTTTGCTTTAAATGTTTTATGGTTATGTAAAATATATGTATGAATTCTGTTTTAGTATTTCAATTGTTAGAAGAACTTATTTGTAAACCTCAATTTTACAAGGCTTTGTAAATTGGTACAGATTATACATGGAATATCATTTGTTTCTAAGTTGCTTATCTGCTTAGCCAATTGCATTTTACAATGATTATCAATTAAATCATATCATGTCAAATTGTAAACAGGAAAAGACAGAATTTGTAAAACTATAAAATATAGTCCTAATATAAACCACAATCTTTATATAACTGATAACAAAGTATTATAATGAAGCTGTAAATAGAGGACTAACTATGAATCTGGACCGGATATCTCAGTCTTGCTTTCACAGCATGTGTGATTCTGTTGCTTTACATGTGTTTTTTTTTACTGATGATTTTCGTCTTTCTGAGATTTGTTACTTGGTGTTAAACCAGTTCTGAATGTCATCTGTTTTGTCGTTACAGCAGGGTGGTCTTGGATTGGACGGAACTCACCCAGAGTACAGTGACAAGTCCATAGACAGGAAAATGCAGTTTATTGCCGTCACCCCTCCCACCACAGTAAGTAGATAAATGGTACAAGTTAAACATGATCTGTATACAAAGACACAGTCTGGCCGTTAGCTTAGGTTTTAAAATAATAAAAGTGATGTTGATTAACTGTTTATGACAAAAAAGATAAAAACTATGAGTTATAATATATTAAAATAAACTCTTGATTTGTAAATGGTTGAAACTGCCCCATTGTGTATGCTAGGAGGTGAGGGACCGACAGAAGGGAGACCACCTGATGCCTTTCTTTGAACCCGTGGGATCAACATCTGATGGTGAAGGGGAGGGAACTCTAGGGAAGAAGAAGCCCCCTCCTGTGGCCCCTAAGAAGTATAGGAATAGTACAGATGACAGTTTGTCAGATATGGTAAGAACTGTGTGTGTGTGTGACTGCATGGACAGATTATGTTAAGCACTGAGACTGGCTCACCGATGTACGGGTATGTCCATGCTGTGTATATATTATGTGTATCCTACTGGTGAGACTGGCTCACTGATGTACGGGTATGTCCATGCTGTGTATATATTATGTGTATCCTACTGGTGGTTATGTAGTCAGGGATTATTTTCCCGTTTAGCCCCCAACAGTGACCACAGAGAGAATGAGGTATGATCCCAACATGGACGATCGGCCGATTCCCACCACCAACGTCCCCATTGTCAAAACACAGACTCGGACAGTCACCTACGAGAAGGACGGTGTCCCCCTGGAGATCGAGGACGGGATCCTCATCAGCTCACAGTCTCACTCGACAAGAACTCAGACCATAGAGACTACTACAGTGAGTGTAACTTAAGCCCTGGCTCTGCTTTCAGTCGGGGGGCAGAAGTGTGTGTTCAGCATGTGACATTCTGCATGGCATTATGTATAGTCTTAACCCCTCGTGTAACCATCAGTCCTCCATGATTCTCATAATTACAGTTCTTAGAAGAAATAGTTTCCTTCTGTTTTTTTCTTTTTCTCTGTTTTGTTCTGTTTCAGATATTTACATCTAGGTAGTTCCTGGTAGAGATATTGAATGTTGGAACATATTTGGTTATTAACCTCTTGCTTTGAACACAGTTCTTGTATTTATATTCCAGGCTTCTTTTATATGTTGCTACAATATCTTATGAAATCTACATTTAATTCAAGAAGCAAACTGAAAACAATTTGAAGTAGCACAAATTGTCAATCAGTCCATTTTCCCAACTTTTGATTGAGATTTGTATGAGGAATTCTTGCCCAATAGAAGCTTACATGTATATTGTTTCACACTGAGTATGATCACAGCATGGCAGAGTTACACATGTAGCTATCTATGGAAATAGTCCTGTACTCGGTATATGTGCACTATTCCACTATATTCACTGTCGAGTACTCAGTGTTTTTTCATACTGTGTCTTATTAACATGAAGATTCCATTTCTCTCATAACAGAGCCAGAATAATATTAAAGAGTATATTATCCTAATCTAATAATCTTGTATATGTGCTCTAGATTGTAAAACACATATTCTGTAATTTTGTATGTAATTAGCAGTATGTGATAAACTTGAAGATAATTGGTTTGTTTTGTTTTCAGTATAAGACGGAGAGAGATGGTAAAACGGAAACCCGAGTGGAGAAAAAGGTTGTGATTTCACAGGAAGAAAATGGAGACGATATTGACCATGATGCGGTAAGTTCTGTATTGATTTACTTTCAGAAATGTATCGCCAACCCACATTTTTAACAAAGCCAAAATGAATAAATAAATGTTAACAAAAAATTCTTTTCAGTTCTGCACGATTTCAATGCAAATGTTTTGACTACATTTGTTGGGTTTTTAGGGGGGATGGATAACTCTTCCAACTCAAGCCTTTTTGTGAGGTAAATGTTTGTCCCTCCTGTAGTTAATATTTCTGTTGTTACAGCTGCTAGCGGAGGCTATCAAGTCGGTGACGGAGATGAACCCTGACCTGTCTGTGGAGAGGATCGAGTGCATGAGGCAGATGGAGGAAGTGGATGGAAGGTACTAGGTAAGTCAAACACATTCTATTCTTTTGTAAAAGGTACTAGGTAAGTCAAACACATTCTATTCTTTTGTTAACGCATGAGTTAAATCAAACACTCTCTATTCTATTTTATTAAAGGCAATAATTAAATTAACATTCGCTATTTTATTTAAGGTACTTGATAAGTCAAATATCTCTGCATGTAGGTTGCATCACAGAAGAAAATGTAGAACTTATTTTAGTTTAGCTAACCTTTGACATTTATATTAACCTGTGACTTTTAACATTGTAGGTTAGATATTGAGCGTTCATTAACCTTTGACTTTTAACATTGTAGGTTAGATATTGAGCGTTCATTAACCTGTGACTTTTAACATTGTAGGTTAGATATTGAGCGTTCATTAACCTGTGACTTTTAATATTGCAGGTTAGATATTGAGCGTTCATTAACCTGTGACTTTTAACACTGTAGGTTAGATATTGAGCGTTCATTAACCTGTGACTTTTATCGTTGTAGGTTAGATTTCGAGCGTTCATTAACCTGTAACTTTTAATATTTTAGGTTAGATATTGAGCGTTCATTAACCTGTGACTTTTATATTGCAGGTTAGATTTCGAGCGATCGTTAACCTGTGACTTTTATCATTGTAGGTTAGATATTGAGCGTTCATTAATCTGTGACTTTTATCATTGTAGGTTAGATTTCGAGCGTTCATTATCCTGTGACTTTTATCATTGTAGGTTAGATTTCGAGCATTCGTTAACCTCTTGTACAGGTGTAGCCAGTTATCAGTGCCTATTTCGTTGCCAGTCCTCTCCAGCTCTGCCTTCTTTACGTCTCGTATTTTGCTTTTGAAGGACGGAAAAAAGACAGTGGACTCAATGGTCACTTTGACAGACTATAGGAAATAATTGCAATAAATTAATATGTATGTGGCATAAAATCATGTTTCATGTGTCATATATAATTTGTTTCATTTGACATTATATAAAGAGACTTCCTGCCAGAAGATAATGGAGAGTTTAAGGTAGTCTCTCCCTGACCTTTGTGTACTGAAGTCAGTTGCCATATGATGGTATCAGGCCCCGTTTGTCACACCTTACATCTCCAGGGCTGAGAGATTATAATGGCAGCTATAGGGACTACATCTTTTTTTCTTTGATGTACATTTTTTAATCTCATTGGCATTTTAAGTAATGTTTTAAATGATGCAGAAAAAAATGTTTTGCAAAATGCTACATTGCTAGATAAGGTTTGTTAAGATTTTTTTATTTGCTGAATGCTTTATTTATGATATGACTCTCTGACATTGTTTATCTTAAAGATTAATTTTATGAAGACAGAATATGTGTCTGTGCCAGGTTGTCCAATTTTATTGCTTCTGTTGCTATTTTTAAGTCCTAGACTGTATAGCTGCAGTCTTATCAGAGACTTCTGCTTTTACATCCTAGACTAAAATTTTATGTAGATCATCTTTTATACATGTATAAAATAGGAATAAAATTCATTTCAATAAAATCAACATTTTAAATTCTGTTTTGTTTGTTTGAGATGCTTTGATGTAGTGTTGAGGATGCATCTGGCTGTATTTTAAACTCAACTGAGCTGAAAGCTTGTGAGCTTTTCTGATCAAATTTGTCTGTCATCAGTCTGTTTGTAAACTTATCACATTTTCCTCTTATTCTCAAGAACCACTGGGCCGAATTCAACCAAACTTGCATCCTTGGATAAAAGGGGTTTTGCCTTGTTAGCTCTCTCTCTCTCTCTCTCTCTATATATATATATATATACTAGACAAAATATATACATGTATATATATTTAAATGAAGGGCTCTATTTCAAGGAGAGATTATTAAGAATAAGTGAAAATTTAATGGCATCTTTCAAACAAATCTCAAGAACCGCTGGGCTGAAAAAGCGTAACTGTAACTATTGTGAAAGCTTCATTACATAATGTAAATTCCAGTGTGTTTAAATCGTGACCCCCAGGGTAGGGTGGGGCCACAATTTACATAAGAATGAATAGGAAAAAAATCATTTAAAATTGATAATGAAGAAAGCAAATTCATTATTAATTGTCATATTAAAACGGAAGCATCCTTAGTTAGATTCAAGTTTGTTCAAATCATGACCACCCACCCCCCGGTGTAGGGTGGGGCCACAATATTTTTTTCAATGATATGGGAGAGTTGTGCATAAGAGATGGGTTGCTCCACAGTCTAATAGAAAGAATGACAGTGTCCTTGTTTTGGGAAACCCCAAATATCTGTTGGAAACGAAAAATGGCACTATGTAATACAGGCGCGGATCAAGGGAGTGGGAGGGTCAGGACCCCCCCCCCCCCTTCTGGAATTTGCAGAGTTATAAAAAGGATGTACCGGTACTAAAGCAATTAAAAGTGACCTTGGATCACCTCCCAGAAAACGCGGACCCCTGTTTAGTTGGTAGGAAAAGTCGGACATATGAAGCTTGAGAAATGAAATGGAGCGGCTAATTCCCCAACCCACATTTCTCTGAATGTGTCAGTGACTGCGAGTCTGGGGAGGGGATACTCATAGTAATTTCGAGTTAGATACCATGTGTTATTATACTTTGGTTAAAATATTTATTTCAGAAAAGTGCCTATGAATCGACCATAGGAAAAGTAAATACATATAGAAAGAAAACATGATTAAAGAAAGTCATTTTCCCTGTAGGAAATAATGTGTAATTATTACATTTTCAACAGTGAAATACTGTGATTTATTCATTGAATAAAAGTGATATTCTCTCACAGTGTGAAAGGATACCAAAGTGATATTCTCTCACAGTGTGAAAGGATATCAAAGTGAGTAGAATATAATTTCTGGCCTGTAACAAGATTGAGATAGAAACTTAACCTCTTGACAGAGATTAAAAGTGCCAATTTTCTTCCAAAATATGTTGCTAAAATCCATGTTACAATGTTTTCAAGCTATGACTTCTCAACTGCTACAAACTATGACGCCACAGCCTATGACACTAGTACTGTGTTAAGAAAAGACAGGGACAAAGGGAAAAATCAAAGAAAATGTAATAAACAGAAAATTCAATGTTTTGTAAATGAATATGGAATAACTTTGTGTTATTTTCCTAACACAGAGTCATAAGCTTGACGTCATAGTTGAGCGGTTGAGACGTCACAGCTTAGCAGTTGATTACATATTTGGAAAGAAATTTGCAGTTTTAGCTCTATCAAGATGGTTAGTTACTATCTCTCTCTTATGACAGGCCAGAAATTATTTTTTTACTTACTTTGATATCCTTTCACACTGTGAGAGAATATCATTTTGGTACCCTTTCAAACTGTGAGAGAATAACACTTTTATTCAATAAATAAATCACAGTATTTCACTGTTGAAAATGTAATAAAATGCTTTACTTGCATTGGTCAATATTTTAATGAGCTACGATATATGCTCGTACATTCACCTACAGCCAGAATGGGAGAGGATCGTATACATTTGGCCGTGATTTGCGACGATAGAAATGGACAGGCATATATCCTACAACCACTCTAGAGACGTGGGCAGGGATATACTAGTACATCAGCCACTCTAGAGACCTTACATCCACTTCAGGGAGGTGGACAAGCTTACCTCACAACCACTCTAGAGAAGTGGACAGACATACCTTACAATCACTCTAGAGACGTGTACAAGCATACCTTAGAGACACTCTAGAGAAGTGGACAGGCACATCTTACAGCCACTCTAGAGAAGTGAAAAGCCATACCTTTCAGCCACTCTAGAGACGTAGACAGGCTTACCTTGCAGATCTTCTAGAGACGTGGACAGGCTTACCTTACAGACACTCTAGAGACGTGGACAGGCTTACCTTACAGGCACTCTAGAGAAGTGGACAGGCATACCTTACAACCACTCTAGAAAAGTGGACAGGCTGACCTTACAGCTACTCTTAAGAAGTGGGCAGGCATATCCTTCACCCACTCTAAACAGTTGGATATATGCATATCATACATCCACTCAAGAGAAGTGGACTGGCATAACAACCACTCTAAAGAATTGACAGGCATATCCTACAGCCACTATAGAGTAGACAGGCATATCCTACAGCCACTATAAAGTAGACAGGCATATCTAACATGACTAACAACCACTCTTAAACTGACAGGTATATCCTACAGCCGCTATAGAGTAGACAGGCATATCTAACAAACACTCTAAAACTGACAGGCATACCCTACAGCCGCTATAGAGTAGACTGGCAAATCTAACAACCACTCTAAAGAATTGACAGGCATATCCTACAGCCCTTATAGAGTAGACAGGCAGATCTAACAACCACTCTAAAGAATTGACAGGCATATCCTACAGTCACTATAGAGTAGACAGGCATATCTAACAACCACTCTAAAGATGCGGCAGACATATCCTACAGCCACTGTAGAGTAGACAGGCATATCCTACTGTCACTATAGAGTAGACAGGCATATCTAACAACCACTCTAAAGAATTGACAGGCATATCCAACTGCCGCTATAGAGTAGACAGGCATATCCTACAGCCACTATAGAGTAGACAGGCATATCTTACAGCCACTATAGAGTAGACAGGCATATCTTACAACCAGTCTAAAGAATTGACAGGCATATCCTACAGCCACTGTAGAGTAGACAGGCATATCTAACAGCCACTCTAAAGAATTGACAGGCATATCCTACAGCCGCTATAGAGAAGACAGGCATATCTAACAACCACTCTAAAGAATTGACAGGCATATCCTACAGCCACTATAGAGTAGACAGGCATATCTAACAACAACTCTAGAGAACTGACAGGCATATCCTACAGCCACTATAGAGTAGACAGGCATATCCTATAGTCGCTATAGAGTAGACAGGCATATATTACAGCCACTGTAGAGTATAAGGCATACCTAACAGCCACTCTAAAGAATTCACAGGCATATCCTACAGCCACTGTAGAGTAGAAGGCATATCTAACAGCCACTCTAAAGAATTGACAGGCATATCCTACAACCACTATAGAGTAGACAGGCATATCTAACAACAACTCTAAAGAACTGACAGGCATATCCTACAGCCGCTATAGAGTAGACAGGCATATCCCACAGTCGCTATAGAGTAGACAGGCATATATTACAGCCACTAGAGAGTAGACAGGCATATCTAACAACCACTCTAAAGAATTCACAGGCATATTCTACAGCCGCTATAGAGTAGACAGGCAGATCTAACAACCACTCTAAAGAATTGACAGGCATATAATACAGCCGCTATAGATTAGACAGGCATATCTAACAACCACTCTAAAGATCGAAATATTAGGCATATCCAACAGCCGCTATAGAGTAGACAGGCATATCTAACAACCACTCTAAAGAATTGACAGGCATATCCAACAGCCGCTTTAGAGTAGACAGGCATATCTAACAACCACTCTAAAGAATTGACAGGCATATCCTACAGCCGCTATAGAGTAGACAGGCATATCTAACAACCACTCTTAAGAAATGACAGGCATATCCTACAGCCGCAATAGAGTAGACAGGCATATCTAACAACCGCTCTGAAGAATTTACAGGCATATCTAACAACCACTCTAAAGAATTGACAGGCATATCCTACAGCCGCTATAGAGTAGACAGGCATATCTAACAACCACTCTAAAGAATTGACAGGCATATTCTACGGTCGCTATTGAGTAGACAGGCATATCTAACAACGATTTAAGAGAAGTTGTCAGGTAGATCTTACAGCCACTCTAGAGAAGTGGACAGGCACAACCTACAACCACTTTAGAGAAGCATAGACGGTCATATCAAAGAGCCGCTTTAGAGAGGTGGTCATGTAGAGCCCACAGACCCTCTTTAGAGAAGTGAACACGCATAGCCTACAACTTATCTTTAGAGAAGTGGACAGGGATATATCCCTCAGCCACTCTAGAGTAGTTGACAGTTAAAGATTATATCGGTTCTTTCAAAGAATGAACTGGCATTGCCTTCATCTACTTTTTTGAGAAATTGACTGGTATTGCCTTCATCTACTCTTTTGAGGAAATGGAAAAGTAAAGCCTTGACATAAATGTAGACTTTGCCTGTCTATTTCTCTTCAGAGAATGGAAGAATTCTTTTTCTTTTAACTGAATAAACGTATTTTTTTTTTAATTTGCAGATTTAAAAACCATGTTCATTCCCTGAAATAAGACGAAGTAATTTGAATAAAAAAATTGCAATATTTTTCTTTCATTTTAAAATAATCTTGACATGCGCCGGCCCTTTTGAGGGTTTAGTGATACTGCATTATTAAGCATATTTCACTCCGCATTTATAGAATATAAACCGTTCATTTATCATTAGCAATACTATTGTATATGTCCATGTACTCCGACATATTCTATAAACTAAGATACCCTAGTCTGTAATTTCTTAATAAAAGTATAAGATGGCATTTTAAAGCACGTGTATTTGATATATTTCTTGTGCCATAATTGATTCAAACGCCACTTATAGTCGAGGAACTATACAGTCGATCACTTTGCTGGACTCAAGTAAAATATCTGGTAGCTTCAAATATACTTAGTACTTAATAGCTCGATCAGCATACTAAAGACTCGGATTTATAACTCGATCATTATAATAAGGACTTTGATTTATAACTCGATCATTATACTCGTAATAAGGACTTTGATTTATAACCTCCATCAATATTATAAAGACTTTGATTTATAAATAACAATTAGGACTTTAATTTATAACTCGATCAGTACTGATGATAATAAGGACCTTGATTTATAACTCGATCAGTATAATATAGACTTTGATTTATAAGTCGATCAGAATAATAATTATTTTGATCTTTATATCGAGCAAAGAAAGGGTAATATTTGTGTTCAGTGAGAGGTCAGTATATAATGACTTACAGACAAATGACCATGAACTGAGAGATTTTGAACCAAGGTCATCACAAATCACCTTAAACGTGGAATTTTTTGGACAGTATTATAAATATATTCTACAAACATGTGTAATCTAACAAACATGTGCATGCACTTTATAAGAAATATTTGTCTAACACTTTTTTAAAAAAATATCTAAAAATTAGAGGAAGGAGACACTAGTAAAAGGTGTTTTAAAATGTAATTTCTATAGTACGTAAATGATAGAGTACAAACAATTACATGTACAAGATATACATGTATATATACATCACCATTGTTACATATACATAACAATCTTTTTAATTAATCTGGATACGTATAAGCTAGTAAGATGTATATATGTAAATTATCATTATATATCGTCCGAGCTAGGGATGTTATATAAAATATCTTAAAACTCCTGCGGTGACAAAAATGCGAATTCATGTACATATGGAATGTTTAACATACAATCAGATTAACCTATAGATCTATATTGCACTCTCTATATATAAAGCTTGATTCGGTCACGCGGACTTACACAATACCCTGTAGAAGTTATAACACATCTAAAGAATGCTGAGGTCATATTGCCGCCTATAGAATTTCATCAAACCTTGTCAAGGATTTCAACAGTCGTTTAAACAAGTTTACTGATATGATTGAAATAAATAGGAATAAAATTCTTTAATTACTCGAGTAATTTTGGATATATATTTTATACCGTAGTATCTAATGTAATATAAGCTTCCATGCATAAAAGAGAGCTATTTCCTTATCACACCTGTGTACCTGCCGCTAGCCTGGCGGTGTGGGGGTGGGGGTGGAGGAGGGAGGGGGTAATCGTCTCTAGACCGGGGTGCTTTTGGGAGTTGACTGTCAGGCATCCAGCTCTGTATGTCGTCGTATCGATCCCTTGGGTCGGATGGTCGTTCGGGCAGAACCCTGGGGCCATAAGAGGGAGGGTCTGGTAACACCCTTGATGAGTACATCCCCCTATCGTCTGCTCTCCGATCAGGCATAACCCTGGAGGAGTACAGGTTTGGCTCCTCAGGCTCCCTCGGTTCTGGACGGGGTCGTCTGCTCTCACGAAGGTCTTGTCTGTAGCTGCTACTGAAGTCGTAAGCCCCGCTCTGTCCCAGAGGGTTTGGTTTGAAGTCGTCTTGTCGTCTGCTTGAGGATCGGAAACTGTCTGGAGGTTCATTCTCACGATCCTGTCTGCTACTGTCTCTCAAGCTCCGTCTATCGTCCAAAGTCTCCCCGAGTCTGTCATTCCTGGATTCTCCCATCCGCTTCTGACTTTCCTTCAATCGGTTGTTTCTTGTGTCTCCTAGTCTGTCATTTCCAATGTCTTCAAATTTGTAGTCGTTTCGACTTTCCCCCAGTTTGTAGTCGTTTCGACTTTTTCCAAATTTGTTGTCGCTTCGACTTTCTCCAAGTTTGTAGTCATTTCGACTTTCTCCAAGTTTGTAGTCGTATCGATTTTCTCCAAGTTTGTTGTCGCTTCGACTTTCTCCAAATTTGTAGTCATTTCGACTTTCTCCAAGTATGTTGTCGCTTCGACTTTCTCCAAGTTTGTAGTCGTATCGACTTTCTCCAAGTTTGATGTCGTCTGGACTTCCTCTAGACGTGTCCTTTTGAGTTTCCGAGAGATAATCCGTTTTTTCCGGAGTTTCCCTGCGATCAGGATTTTTTTCTGAGTTTAATCCTAGATCTTCTGTCAAATCTTTCACAATCCCTCTTACTCTAGGTAATCCAAACACAAAATAAGAACTTCCCTGTAGACCGATCATTGACTCACAATACTTCTGCTTCAGAAGACCCCCTGTCTTCTCTTTCTTTGGGTCTCTCAGAAAAGTGGTGACGGCGTTACGTTCTGGTGCAGGGGCTGGAGGATGGGACTTGTCGGCAGACTTGTGGGTGTCCATGATGTCGGCCACAATTGCAGAGTTGATCCACACCCGACATTCCGTCCACTGGAAGAGTTTATCTCGCGCCATCATGTCCACCGCTGTCCGCTTACTGTTCGTGTCAAACCGGGAATCAGAAGTGGTCGGCGACCTCTGAGGATAAAAGAGAAGATGGACTCAGAACAATTATAAAAAAGATGGCCAAACAGGAAGTAAATCTCCTTTAAACTGTTGACAGTAAATATATACCTTACCTGAGAATAATGAAGTTAATTAACTTACCTGAGGATTTGTCGGATACATATTTTACTTCCTTCCGTAAATATATTCCTCTCCAAACTAATAGACTATCCCAACCAGTTACAGACTTAAAATGTCGTTCATGTTCGGCGAACGGCAATTATGGTTTTACTGCGCTGTGAAAATATTGTAATAGGTGGAAAGAAAATACACACAATGTATTTAAAGATCCAGTTGCTTTGTACGGGTGACTGTGTGCCGACAATCGGATGTAACCCCCCGACGTTCACCCAACCAGATACGCCGACCGCTTAGTCCTCCATATTGAAAGCAAAGACAGATTTTTATTTATTTTTTTTTTTTTTTTTACACTTTATTTTGTTACTAGTATACAAAAAGAGAGATGTTCCACCTGTCAGACATGAAATTTGTGATCAATAGCTTCCTACATGTTATATGTTATTAGTAATTTATAATTGATTAGTCTACATAGCGCGATAAAAACCGCTCGCACGGAAAAATGTAAACATTTTGCTTTGTTTCCTGGAGCATGTTTTCCATTCTTATTAAAAAATATATGAAGCAACAAAAATAAATAAATAGATGAAAAAATGTTTGTAAAACGTTCTGAGAATACAGTAGCCATAAGGCCGGTGTGCACTTTGGCTAAAGCTGTTATCAATCGATCGTGCAGGGTGTTCTATATGATATTTTTTTTTAAGAAAAGGTGATTGGTGAAAAATGATGTTTACAGAACAGAACAGAACATTTATTTTCTATAATTTAGAGCCCATAACAGACAAGTATGAATTCATTACAATAATAAAGAAAAGATATGCCAATGGATAGTATAACAATTTGTAAATGACATTGCTCATTTCAACAATAATATTGTACTATTTCAGTTAAAATGAATATTATATATAAAAGTGTATGGCTACTACAACATGTTATCATTTATGAATTTGCCCACAAAATTTCTAGATCTTTGTCTTCAGTATTGAGTAACCAAAAAAGTTTTTGTTCAGCATCTAACGCCGAGAAATTTGGAAATTTACTTTGTATTAACTGAAAAATTCTTTTCTTTTATGATCATATTTTTTTTACATGTTATCAAAAAATGATTTTCATCATCTACACTGTTAAAATTGCATCTATTACATAATCGATCTTCTCGAGGGATGTTGGTAAATCTTCCCACTTGCAATCTGTGACAAGAAATTCTTAATTTACATAGAGATTTTCTGTGATGAAAAATTTTAACTACTGATAAATAATTCTCATAACCCCAATTTTGTTTTTTACATATGTGCTTAATTTACCATCAGTATGACTTTGTATGTTTACGAGAACAAGCATCATTCAGAGAATGTGAAATTGTTTTATATCTCGAATTTTCAAGTCTATATTTATACGGATTGACGAAAATTGTAGACGAGGTCCACTTCTATTTAAAGGCTTGATCCGAAGTTTTTAGTATAAAAACAAATTAAAGGCCTAACGATTGGTATGAAGTATTATACATGTCATATGTCAATCAAAATACGACCCAATGTTAGGTTGTATTTGCTATACATACATGTATGTAACAAGGTCATTATAACGATCACAGAATTTACGAAATGCTGACTTTAAACGAGATTGTTGAAATATCTGTAATGTTAACTAATTTTTCAGTAGCCTGTCTCGGTTTAAAAATTGATCGTACTCGGAGCATGTTCTTGAGTAACGAATAAGTTGGGACACATAAACGTCGTATGCGGCTGATAATAAAATACTAGTATTACTTTATTAATAAAGATTTGACGATAGAAAAGCTGGTCATCTCGTTTATCATACAGTTTAGTTGGCCCTTATCGTCTAAAGTCAGTAAAAGATCCAAATATGAAACAGATTTGGCAGATTCTGTGGTGTCTTTTAATTCGAGTTCACAGGGATAATTATACTAATATCGATTCGACATATGAATAGAAGTAACTATTGTTAATTGATAGAACGTGGTCGATATATCTGAATGTCGAGTTGAAGATCACAGCACGTGTTTTCATCTTCTCATGTATAAGTTGTAAATAAATTCTGCTTCGTAGGGGGGGAAAAACAGGTCGGCTAGTAAAGGAGCACAAAAAGCGCCCATCTCATAATTCCAACAGATTGTTGGAGGACCTGATCTTCGAAGACTACATAACTGTTGTCAATGAGGAACTCCAGCATTTTTTTAAAATATCAACTTCAGAGTACTTATGTGTAGAATCAGTATTTTTTTTTAACAAAGTTATTTTGTAGAAGACCATGCAATCAATATGAAAATCAAGGAATTATATTTTTACTGAAGAATCATTTGTCTATGAAATCAAAAGCCGTCTTGTTTTTAATGTATTGTGAGAAATAAAGTGAAGAAAAGTCATGCGTTTTGATGTTATTGACTGTTGAAAAAAGTTTCCCCTTTACTGTCCATTGTTCTATTGTATTATTGTATATACTGATAAGCTTAACGTTACAATAAAGAAAGAGTGTACTGTTAGTTTAATGCCAAAATGGACGTCATTTAGACCACGTAAATTGAAATACTGATCTTTTGTTTTTGACTGTCTATTTTTTTTTTCATGAATGAAAGTTCAATCATGAAAACAAAAAAGAATAAAATCTTAATTATTTTATCTGATTTGGGGCGGGGGGGGGGGGTTTACATTTATTTATTTATTTTTGTTAGAGGAAATGGAAAAATCGCATTTTGGAACTGCATATAAATTTGTTGTTAATTAATGCATAAAATAATGATCTACATGCAATTAAGTAGGTCAAAAAGAGCCAGGTATACATTTTACATGTGTAGTACTTTAATAAAAGAAATATTTATGAATAATGAAAACAATATTTGTTAAAGATATTTTAAATCTATGGATAAAATCTTTAAAAGAAATTACTTCTATAGAAAAGAAATGTTAGACAATCATAAAGCATATCTAAAAAAAATTGAAATGAAATTGTCCTTTATATTGCAGGGCCCAAGCTTATGTACGCATCGTCGCACTGGTTTTTATTTAAAAAAGGACGTAGGCGCAAGAGTCCGAGTCTTCGTCAGCATGAACGATTCCGCGCTTTGGAAAGCATTTTTAAAGAATAAACAGGAACTCTAATAAGCTGAAATAATGAAATGAATATTAGAATTCACAATGTACTGAAAGTTACTCCCCCCCCCCCCCCCGGCGACATTTTGAATTAACATCAATAAAAGACAAACACAAGGGTGAAATCTAATGGGTTCTTCTTATTTTTCTTTTTTATTATTTATGCTGTGTAACTGAAACCAAACCAAACCAAACAAACAAAAACCTATTTTTTCTGAATAAACTGGGAAATTTAGGGGAAAGGGGGGGGGGATTCTACATGTTTATACTGTTATCTCACTCATTGAGAAACACCTTTTCAATATAGTTGGCACATGACTTCATCTTCACACACACTTTTTTTCCAACCAAAAAAAAAAAAGACATTGTCTTCTCAGGAGCTAGGGTGTTGAAGTACATGTATTTGTCATGCATGTATTTCCACCTAATTAAAAAAAATCGTGTACACCGAATGAGAACTCCCTAGAGATGACATAAAGTACTTTTTGGGGGGGGGGGGGGGGAGGGGGGAGGTATTATGAAGAGTTGAGACAGAGTAGGTGTGTCAAAAAACTGAATTTTCATTGGTGGAGTTCTCATGAAAGATGTTTTGCTATTTTTTTTTCACTCATTTGTCATTTATCATTCCTAAACTAAATAACTATGTATCAAAATAGTTAATCTTTCTGTTTTCTAACGTTGAACTGACTGTAAGTGACGCAATAATGTGTTTTAAGATATAGCGGAACAGAATTGTGGGATCCGCGCCCATGTGTGTCTTGTTTACTCTCCTTTAAACATGGCTGCTGTCAAGGTCTTTGGAGTGTGTACAAGAAATTCTGTCTTACAGATCAAAGCTTTATATTCTGTACCAACAAATGAGGTTAGACTTAAGTCAAATCTTTTGTTGCAGTAACCTTGCAGTGCCATTGTTTTCTCTCTGTCTTTTTATAATCTATGTGTAGGAACAAAACATGATGTAACCCGAATGTCCTCAGTTGTAGTTTTTCAAAACATAACGTTAGCTCTCATTATCGGCGAGAGGAGTGGCTGATCAATTTGTGGCTGTGTTAGAAAGTGCACATGGGAGAGATGAAACGCTATTTCTTTATTCTCACTGATTTTCAAATTAATGAATCAATTTGTTAAAAAAAAAAATACATTTGAAGCACCTGCTATTTATCTCACAATTTGTGCACTTGAGTTTTTTCGCTGTGAAAGCGGACATAAAGCGGTCTGAAATAAAGGTGTTTTCTCTTCTTTCAGCTTTGAGAGTTTTGTGCTTTCTTTGGACGCTTACTTGTGAAAGTACTTTTTAAATGCGTAATTTTGTTTTTGGCTAATTTGATGCTTTGCATGAATATCTTACTTGTCATGCTGCCCTACAGACCAATAGAATCAGTTTATCTTTATGCAGTCTGCAGATTTATTTACATGTTTCTATAAGCATCCTTGGTAGTTCATGAGAAAATGAATTGTCTTCTAATTTGCAAAGAATCTTAAGGAAAAAGATTTGATCCAAAATGAACATCATAAGTTAATGCATGGTTAATTTTATTTACAGAACTTAATTAGTCTTGTTTTGCAAGATAACTTTCTTCATTTCCAAGATTAAGGAAGGCTTGTGTTCATATTTTTATTTTTACATTTCCAAATATTGTCATGATTTACAGGGGAATGACTTTACTTTACCGGTCCCCAGAAAAACATGCTAAAATATAGTATATAATATATTGGGTACTTCATAAAATATGAGATCGTGTGAGCGATTGGAAAAAATAAAAAGTATGAGGTTTTTGGCCTTTTTGACCCCAAAATCGAATTCTAAGGTTAAAAGTTTAGTTTTAAACTTAATTTTTAAACAAAGTTTTTTAACCTCGTTCTCTGAAAAAATTGATAAATATTGTTTATTCATTGAAAAATCGACAAAAAATAATTGTCAATGAAGCATGTGCAGAGCATGCTTAGTGTCATTTCTTTCATACTTAGCCATTTTTAGCTCACCTCGACGAAGTCGAGATGAGCTTATGCTATACCCCCGGCGTTGGCGTCGGCGTCGGCATCGGCGTTAGCGTCGGCGTCCCAGGTTAAAATTTTAGGAGCAAGTCAATTCCCAAGTAACTACAAGCCCTACCTGGACCAAACTTGCATGGATGATGCATCTAGGGATGGACACTACCACACTTGCTTCGGATGCTGGATCTGACCTAGATTTTCCAGATGAGTGACCAGGTTAAAGTTTTTGGAGCAGGTCCATTCCCAAGTAACTATAAGCCCTACCTGAACCAAACTTACATGGATGATGCATCTAGGGATGGACACAACCACACTTGCTTCAGATGCTGGATCTGACCTAGATTTTCCAGATGAGTGACCAGGTTAAAGTTTTTGGAGCAGGTCCATTCCCAAGTAACTATAAGCCCTTCCTGAACCAAACTTCCATGGATGATGCATCTAGGGATGGACACTACCACACTTGCTTCAGATGCTGGATCTGACCTAGATTTTCCAGATGAGTGACCAGGTTAAAGTTTTTGGAGCAGGTCCATTCCCAAGGAACTATAAGCCTTTCCTGAACCAAACTTGCATGGATGATGCATCTAGGGATGGACACTACCACACTTGCTTCAGATGCTGGATCTGACCTAGATTTTCCAGTTGAGTGACCAGGTTAAAGTTTTTGGAGCAGGTCCATTCCCAAGTAACTATAAGCCCTACCTGAACCAAACTTACATGGATGATGCATCTAGGGATGGACACTACCACACTTGCTTCAGATGCTGGGTCTGACCTAGATTTTCCAGATGAGTGACCAGGTTAAAGTTTTTGGAGCAGGTCCATTCCCAAGGAACTATAAGCCTTACCTGAACCAAACTTACATGGATGATGCATCTAGGGATGGACACTACCACACTTGCTTCAGATGCTGGATCTGACCTAGATTTTCCAGTTGAGTGACCAGGTTAAAGTTTTTGGAGCAGGTCCATTCCCAAGTAACTATAAGCCCTACCTGAACCAAACTTGCATGGATGATGCATCTAGGGATGGACACTACCACACTTGCTTCAGATGCTGGATCTGACCTAGATTTTCCAGATGAGTGACCAGGTTAAAGTTTTTGGAGCAAGTCCATTCCCAAGTAACTGTAAGCCCTACCTGAACCAAAGTTGCATGGATGATGCATCTAGAGATGGACACTACCACACTTGCTTCGGATGCTGGATCTGACCTATATTTGGAGCAGGTCTATTCCCAAGTAACTATAAGCCCTACCTGGACCAAACTTACATGGATGATGCATCTAGGGATGGACACTACCACACTTGCTTCAGATGCTGGATCTGACCTATATTTGGAGCAGGTCTATTCCCAAGTAACTATAAGCCCTACCTGGACCAAACTTGCATGGATGATGCATCTAGGGATGGACACTACCACAATTGCTTCGGATGCTGAATCTGACCTAGATTTTCCAGATGAGTGAATTTTAGCCATATTTTAATCAAATTAGCATGGATGATGTATCTTAGGATGGACACTTTCAGACTTGTTTTGGATTCTGAATCTGACCTACATTTTCCAGATGGGTGACCAGAGTAATGTTTTTGGAGTAGCTATATAATACTATGGCATGTTATGATTAAACAGCTTGGATGGTACATCTAAGGATGAAAACTTCCAGACTTGCTTTGGATGTTGGAACTGTCCAAAATTTTCTTGATTAGTAAACAGGTTAGAAGTTTTTTGAGCAGGTCTATTTCCAAGTATCTATAAGTCCTTCTTAAACCAAACTTGTATGGATATTGATTTTGGGATGAACACTAACTAGAAAAAATATGATGTGAGATTTGCCTTACTTATAGATAGCCTTCGTCGAGGTGAGCTTCGTAATCTTTGATTACCTATGTTTTTTTCATGTAAACAACCAGGAAAATGCCATTGAAGCTGAATTAAGATCTTGCAAAAAATACAGAAACAATTGGCCTATCTGTAGTGTACTACCTTAAGATGCAGTGCCCCAAATGATTATTCAGTGTTTAAATGTAAATGTAGTCTTGGATTTTTTTTGTAAGTCAACAAAACCCATGGAAATAGTTTTTAGATTTTTCTTAAGTCACTTCCTCTATAATGCAGGTGGGTCTAATTATAGGTCTTGTACCAACAAAACAGAGAGGGTTCCATTAACAAAATAAATATTGGTAGTGACTGCTCTGTCTCTTTGATCAAGAATTTAAAAAAAGTCTTTCAAAATTTAGTTTTATTCTTCAATCACTGTTGCTATAATGTGGTATTGATTTCTTCTTTATTTCTTACAGCTGTCTAAGAAGTTCAGTACGTCCAGAACTCATTACAAAGCCAAGTTTTTTGACTCTGCCGAGGAAGCTGTACAGGACATCAAGGATGACAGTAAACTTCTGGTGGGAGGTAGGTAGGATCCCAATCCTGTGTATGTAGTCTGATGGGAGGTAGGTAGGATCCTAATCCTGTGTATGTAGTCTGTAGGGAGGTAGGTAGGATCCCAGTCCTGTGTATGTAGTCTGTAGTGAGGTAGGAAGGATCCCAATCCTGTGTATGTAGTCTGTGGGGAGGTAGGTAGGATTCCAGTCCTGTGTATATAGTCTTTAGGAAGGTAGGTAGGATCCCAATCCTGTGTATGTAGTCTGTAGGGAGATAGGTAGAATCCCAATCCTGTGTATGTAGTCTGTTGGGAGGTAGGTAGGATCCCAAACCTGTGTATGTAGTCTGTGGGGAGGTAGGTAGGATTCCAGTCCTGTGTATGTAGTCTTTAGGAAGGTAGGTAGGATCCCAGTCCTGTGTATGTAGTCTGAAAGGAGGTAGGTAGGATCCCAGTCCTGTGTATGTAGTCTGAAAGGAGGTAGGTAGGATCCCAGTCCTGTGTATGTAGTCTGTAGGGAGGTAGGTCGGATCCCAATCCTGTGTATGTAGTCTGTAAGGAGGTAGGTAGGATCCCAATCCTGTGTATGTAGTCTGAAAGGAGGTAGGTAGGATCCCAGTCCTGTGTATGTAGTCTGTAGGGAGGTAGGAAGGATCCCAATCCTGTGTATATAGTCTGTAGGGAGGTAGGTAGGATCCCAGTCCTGTGTATGTAGTCTGTAGGGAGGTAGGTAGGATCCCAATCCTGTGTATATAGTCTGTAGGGAAGTAGGTAGGATCCCAGTCCTGTGTATGTAGTCTGAAGGGAGGTAGGAAGGATCCCAATCCTGTGTATGTAGTCTGTAAGGAGGTAGGTAGGATCCCAATCCTGTGTTTGTAGTCTGAAAGGAGGTAGGTAGGATCCCAGTCCTGTGTATGCAGTCTGTAGGGAGGTAGGAAGGATCCCAATCCTGTGTATATAGTCTGTAGGGAGGTAGGTAGGATCCCAGTCCTGTGTATGTAGTCTGTAGGGAGATAGGTAGGATCCCAATCCTGTGTATATAGTCTGTAGGGAAGTAGGTAGGATCCCAATCCTGTGTATGTAGTCTGAAAGGAGGTAGGTAGGATCCCAGTCCTGTGTATGTAGTCTGTAGGGAGGTAGGAAGGATCCCAATCCTGTGTATGTAGTCTGAAAGGAGGTAGGTAGGATCCCAGTCCTGTGTATGTAGTCTGTAGGGAGGTAGGAAGGATCCCAATCCTGTGTATGTAGTCTGTAGGGAGGTAGGAAGGATCCCAATCCTGTGTATGTAGTCTGTAAGGAGGTAGGTAGGATCAGAAACCTCTGTATGTAGTCTGTAGGGAGGTAGGTAGGATCCCAATCCTGTGTATGTAGTCTGTAGGGGGGTAGGTAGGATCCCAAACCTCTGTATGTAGTTTTTTGGGAGGTAGGAAGGATCCCAATCCTGTGTATGTAGTCTGTAGGGAGGTAGGTAGGAACAGAAATCTCTGTTTGTAGTCTGTAGGGAGGTAGTTAGGATCCCAAAACCTCTATATGTAGGCTTTTGGGAGGTAGGTAGGATCCCAAAACCTCTATATGTAGACTTTTGGGAGGTAGTTAGGATCTTAGTATATTTACAAGATTTGGACTGTGTGTATATTTACAAGATTTGGACTGTGTGTATATTTACAAAATTTGGACTGTGTGTACATTTACAGAATGTGGACTATATATTTACAAGATTTGGACTGTGTGTTTTTTTAAAGGATTTGGACTGTGTGTATATTTACAGAATTTAGTGTGTGTGTATTTTTACATGATTTTAACTGTATATTTACAGGATTTGGTCTATGTGTATATTTGCAGGATTTGGTCTGTGTGTATTTTACAGGATTTTAACTGTATATTTACAGGATTTGGTCAATGTGTATATTTACAGGATTTTGACTCTGTGTTTATAGGATTTGGACTGTATATTTACAGGATTTGGTCTGTGTGTATTTTACAGGATTTGGCCTGTATATTTACATGATTTTGTCTGTGTGTATATTTACAGGATTTGGTCTGTGTGTATTTTACAGGATTTGGTCTGTGTATTTACAGGATTTAGTCAATGTGTATATTTACAGGATTTTGACTCTGTGTTTATAGGATTTGGACTGTATATTTACAGGATTTGGTTTGTGTGTATTTTACAGGATTTGGTCTGTGTGTATTTTACAGGTCAATGTGTATATTTACAGGATTTTGACTCTGTGTTTACAGGATTTGGACTGTATATTTACAGGATTTGGTCTGTGTGTATTTTACAGGATTTGGTCTGTATATTTACATGATTTTGTCTGTGCGTATATTTACAGGATTTGGTCTGTGTGGAATCCCAGAGAACCTGATTGCAGCCTTACTACAGACAAAGGTCAAAGGTCTGACAGTGGTCAGTAATAATGCCGGAGTGGACAACTTTGGTTTGGGCCTCCTACTTCGACAGAGACAGGTCAGTGTCCAACTATCCATCCCTTGACAGAGGTAAATGTAAAATATTTAAGGTGACATCTGACGAGGCCTAATGTCAGTCTACATGTGTGTCAGCCTGGAAAGCAGACAGCCACGAAAAATATTACACGAAAATAAAGTTCTTGGCAATAAAAAGGTGATTTACAGCACCATTCAGGAAGTCATACTGTCATCAGGTCAAAATAAAATATTCTAGATAAGGGTTTCCCTGCTAATCCAGCATTGGAAAAATATTGATATAATGTTGATGCAGACTGTTTTTATTTCCAAAATTCATGATAAAGAAATGAGAAAGTAAATTAAAAATGATGCAGAATGAAAACAATGACAATATGAAAACCATAAACATTTTGGTCAATACAATTATTGTATTTGAAATAAAATAATTATTAAAAAGAAAAACCTCTTGATCTACCTAATTTTTTTCATAGCTGGAAAGCCTAAACAATTTTGTTCTACCTAGTTAGAGCATTTGATACTAGAGATAGATACAACAGTTTGGTCAAGTTTGATATCTATGTGTTGATATAATTATGGATCATATGTAGAGATGTTGATATAATTATGGATCATTTGTAGAGAGGTTAATAATAATTATGAATCATTCATAGAGATGTTGAATTTTGAATCATGTGTAGAGATGTTGATATATATATGGATCATTTTAGAGATGTTAAAATTATGGATCATTTGTAGAGATGTAGATATAATTGTGGATCATTCTTAGAGATGTTGATATAATGAAATGATGACTCATATAAAGAGAGGTTGATAAATTTATGGATCATTTGTAGAGATGTTGATATAATTATGGATCATTTGTAGAGATGTTGATATAATTATGGATCATATTTAGAGATGTTGATATAATTATGGATCATATTTATAAATGTTGATATAATTATGGATCATATTTAGAGATGTTAATATAATTATGGATAATATTTAGAGATGTTAATATAATTATGGATAATATTTAGAGATGTTGATATAATTATGGATCGTATGTAGAGATGTTGATATAATTATGGATCATTTGTAGAGATGTTGATATAATTATGGATCATATGTAGAGATTGATATTATTATGGATCATATTTAGAGATGTTGATATAATTATGGATCATATGTAGAGATGTTGATATAATTATGGATCATTTGTAGAGATGTTGATATAATTATGGATAATATGTAGAGATGTTGATATAATTATGGATCATATTTAGAGATGTTGATATAATTATGGATCATATTTAGAGATGTTGATATAATTATGGATCATTTGTAGAGATGTTGATATAATTATGAATCATTTGTAGAGATGTTGATACAATAGAATCATATGTAGAGATGTTGATTTAATTATGGATCATTTGTAGAGATGTTGATATAATTATGAATCATTTGTAGAGATGTTGATATAATTATGAATCATTTGTAGAGATTAGGAGTGAAACGGTTCACCGCGGTATCGATTCACCGCGGTATTTATTCTCGGTTTGATACACGGGTCAAAATCTCTAATTTTCGGTTCGGTTCATTTTTTGCTCAGGATCTTTATTCAGTCGGGTTTGGCATAAGGTAAAACACATTATTCAGTAAAATAAGTATAGAAAACATAAATTTTTTATGACTGATAGCTTGTAAAATAATTTTTGACCGTCAAATAATTTTAATCAATTTCTTCTAGTCAATTTGCAAATAAAACTCGTAAAATATGTTACTAGATTTAGAAAAAGAAAGCATAAAACAACGTTGAATTTGTTTCCTTCTATCAAAATGTATCGTATCGAAAATAACCGAACCGAGACAAAATTATACAATACGTATTGAACCGTGAAGGAGGTGTATCGTTTCACCCCTAGTAGAGATGTTGATATAATTATGGATCATATGCAAAGATGTTGATATAATTATAGATCATTTGTAGAGATGTTGATATAATTATGGATTTCTCCAGTCATGGCTTTTCTTCCAGATCAGAAGGATATTTTGGAAAGATTCCTTTCTTTTGCTTGTCTTTCAGATTAAAAGGATGATTTCGTCTTATGTGGGTGAGAATGCAGAGTTTGAGAGACAATATCTCGAGGGAGAACTTGAAGTGGAACTCACCCCCCAGGTAACAACATGTGATTGTTTATAATTATTAACTACCTCCAACCCTAAGGTAACGAAATTGTGATTGTTTATTAATTCATGCAACCCCACCCTCCAAGCCATTCTGATTAAGTCAACCCCCATCCCCAGGTAACACCTGTGATTGTTTTAATGTAATTCATTTCTCTATTATGATAGTTTTGCTGGTGGTATTTTCTTCTCATTTTTGTTGACAGCAGTACATCAGTAGTTTATTTGAAAGTGACAACAGAATTAGACACCATCTCCTCTAGCTCTGTCCCACGTAAATATATCTTAAGATGTTCGTCAAAGCTAAAGTCAAAGCTACAGTTATTGAAAACAATGTTCATTAATTTTCTTTTATCTGTTTAGGGGACTTTGGCAGAGAGAATTCGGGCTGGTGGAGCTGGTATCCCAGCATTCTTCACTCCTACAGGGTATGGAACACTAATCCAGGAGGGCGGGGCACCAGTCAAATACAATACAGATAAAACAGTGGAAATAATCAGCGATCCAAGGGAGGTAAGTCACTGATTCCTCTAACGTCATGCAAATAGTGGATAGAGCTGTATAACTACAATCCAGTAACATTTCCAATATCAACAGATTTGTCCCCCGCAAGGGGACATTAAGGAGGTTGGATCCTGCCATCAAAAGTAATGAGAATTTTTTATCAAGTATATTTTCAGAATTTATACACATAGCTTAATTAAAAATCAAAACAAAAATTGGGGTCAATGCGCTTCTTTTGGCGCTACAGAGCATTTAGTTTGACCTTTTTGCACTGTAAATACGTCTTACACATAAATCAATTTGTAAAGTTTTTCCTCCAATATTTTTTTTTCAAATAAATTATGGGAACAAACACAGTCTTATTTCATCTTGAATAGACAATGACAATGAAAAAAAAATTTGAAATTACTCCGCATGTTCAATTATTTGACCTTTTTGCACTAAAAAATTTCATTTTCCTGGCATTAGAACTTTAACACCAAAAAAATCATTTGAAAGTAATGACATTTTACTGAAGTTAAGAAGAATGGTTCAAAGTATCTTATATATTCAGAAAATAAAACAAAAAAGTGGGGGTCTGTAATGTTAATTTTTGAGATATTACTGAAATAGTGCTAATTTTAAGCTTAAAATAGGGATATTTTTTCTTGATTTTCACAAATATTTATCAAATATGACGATAGAATTCATGACAGTTTATTTAATATATAATTTAGGACCAGTATAAAACAGTTCACTGCACAAAATAACTCTTTGTGTAGACTGTATGTAAAAATAGGAATCCAAACTTAACATACTTTAAATGCTTTGAAAGAGAAAAAATGATAATTTTCTTCTAAAAAAAACCTTTCGAAATACAAAATATAGTTCATCACTTAATGCTTTTGGTATGGAATTTAATCATGGAGTTTTAACTGAATATAGTTTAATTGGCATTGTAGAATCCAATTTTATTGCAAGAATTAAAACATTATGCAGAATTTTTAAAATATAGGTTATGATTTAAATCTGCTCAAAAGCTCAGGAGTGAACCTCGTTAAATCACATTCGTCTGACAGTCAATTTGTCTGTCACAAAAAAGTTTAACTTAATTAGGCCATAACTTTTGAATGAGAAAAGATAGGGCTTTCATATTGTACATGTGCATTTACTGTGACATCACCTTTTTAGGAAGAACTAGCATTTTTGAATTTATGTCCTTGACTTAGAAGTTTGACCTACTTATCTCAAATTATAACTTTGGCTGTAACTTTTGCTTCAGAAGAGATGAAGCTTTCATATTTTTTTCACATAAGCACTGCTTGTGACAAGATCTATTTGGATTAGATTATAATATTTGACCTCATGACCTTGATCTTTGAAGTTTGATGTAGTTTTAAGAAACTTTAATCTTGGCTTTAACTTGGGGATTGATTGAAAAATTTCACTTTTTTGTAAGATGGACAGACAAGACAGAACACACAGACAAGACTGTTTACAATATGTCATATATAATTGCATCTGAACCCCTATGACTTTGAAAGAGAGGACCACAATTCTTTTATTGTTTTCTCACATAATATCTCCCTAAGACAGGAGAAATCCAGTTGAAATTTATTCTATTAATATGTGAAATACCCAGAATATATGGAAATGAGTCCAAGATCCAAAATTTATGAATACAAATTTCAACCTTTAGATCTTGAACTCTTGGATACCTTGTAGTTTCCTGCCATATTTGAGATATTGAGGTTTTACTGTAAACAGGGCAGTTAACTCTAATCCACTATAAATGTGTGTTTGTGTGTGTGTTTCTAGTCTTGTTACTTGAGAAATCTACCTTGACAAAACTTGCTTTACATCAGTTAAAAGCTTAATAAACAGTCTTGTGGTGGCATATCATAGATACTGCATGATAGTGCAGGAAACAAGTTTTTCTGTCCGCTACCAATTCTAAAAATAGTCAGTGGGATGTTTCCTACCCATTAATAGAGAAACTCAGTCACAAATACATCACTTTAACTAAAACCTTTATGAATATTAACAAAACAACGTAAATATAAACTCTAGATTTACTATAAACCAACTTTTATTCACGTGCAAGAAATATCTGTGAGTTTCACGACCTACTTTAACTTGCAAATATTAATTGCTGCGAATCAATTATTTTGCTTTGTAAGAATGTTTCCTCAGTCGCGAAAATTAATTGTTGCAGATTGATTTCAAACTGAAGATTCGTGAATGAAGGTTGACACGAATAACAATTGGTTTACAGTATTATAACTGTGTTTGTACTAGGTAAGCATTGTACATGTATTATGTAGTTGTATAGGGCATTTGTCAAATTATGCACACCTGACAAAAGACAAGGACTTTTTTTAATATAAAAATGATGATTTTAATGATGAGTCATTTATTTGAGTTTTCATTTGAATATCATATCTAATGGATTTTGTTTTGCAAAGAACATCTTTTGGAACACTTTAAATTTTTTTGAGATGAGGGGAAGGGGGGGGGGGGGAGGAGTGAGGTTTTAGTTGAAACTCCTGATATAGATTAAAAGCATACAATCTCTGAATTGGTTCATCAGTTTTCAAAATTCAAGCTGAAATTTATAATTGTGTTTCCCACACAATCTGCTGAGTAAGTGAAAAGACAATTGGCTTTTATTTGTAAACTTTGTTCATGTTTTAAAAAAAATCAACAAAATTCTCATTTGATACTGGTCTTTAAAATATACTGTGAAAAAAAGTCATTATTGAATAAAGAAATTATAAAGTTTGGCTTAAAAAGTTGTCATTTATGTTTGTTTATGAATTGAATTATTTGTAGTTTATCCATTTAATAAATACATGCTGGAAACTGTGGAAAGGGTTAAACAGTTTAAAGTTTAAGGAAAAATTAAATATATTAAAAATTCAACAGTGCTTCTGATTACTTGACGAAAAGAGGCAAAAATTTTTCTGCAGTCTAAAAAGTCAATTTTGTCATTAAATTTACCACGAATTGGAAAGTTTTTTTTTTTTTAAATTTTTTTGTATTGGATAAAAATTGATCTTAATATTATCAAATAACAGCTAGTAGCAAAATCTAATTAAATATAATTATAGTTGTCCTATAAGATTACTGTTATGTCTGACTTGGACTACAAAAGTTTGTGTACCTATCAATTTTACCAAAATTTTCAGTAAATATAAAAAATATGTTATACCTATAATATTATTCTAGGCATTACATATTTTTTATATTTACTGAAAATCTTGGAAAAATTGATAGGTACGAGAACTGTGCTTGGACCAACAGTCACAATCAAGGGAGGGTACTCTGTAGTGTTTGTCAAAGTTCAGATCAACAGATGACTGTGTTCCAGTATTTGTTTCCTTGAAGTATTTTTATGTCTTTAAAAGGAGAAGTTGACTTTGTTTTGATTCACAGTTAGAGGGGTTATATTTACATTGGTTTTAATAAGTTTCTCAATTCTTTTTTAAAGTGATAACTAGTCATCATAATGTGTGCATATATTTAAAACAGAAACAAACTGATATTTTGTAGTGGTAAATTAGTCTTAGCCACTTTACATGTGGGAAGTGTTTAGAAGATCTTGTTGCACACAATTACAAAGTCTAGACTGTTGGAGTTTGTTCTTACTAGCAGTTTAGAATTTATATCAGACAAGCTTATTAAATTACACTGTGTTTGTCTACAATCATTAGTAGTTTGCTGTACATGTGTATGACTGTATGATTTTACACTTTAAAAATGGTGTGTGAATTGCATGTCTGATAAAGATCAGTTCCTGTTTAATGCAAGTTGTTATGAATATTATTTTGTTAAATACATTTAAACTGTGTGGAAGCAACCAAACTTAAATTGCATTTGTCACATTTTCTTTAAAAAGTAACAACAACAACAAAAGCAACAACAACAAAAACAAACCACAAATAAAATTATTTTATTAAAAAAGAAGATAAATTTTGTAAATATTTTGAAATAGTTTAACAGTTGTTGCATTTTATAACATTTTAATTACCTCTATATGGGCAGAATTACTTGAGGCTTCATACAAAAGTTATACACCAGTCTGTGTAATTTAATTTCCATTGATTAATCTATAATGTCTGCCAGCTTTACATCAAGGAATGTCTGGATCCTAGATATAGTTTATGATACTTATCATTATACATGTATATGTATGTAATTAATAACAAACAAAAGATGACAGTCCAGAGTTGACTCTAGTACAGCTGGGGATTACAAATGACATGTTTATTTTGGGGGCATTTTAGTCAGAGCTGGTTACTCGACTCAGACTTTCCACTGTTATATCTCATGTATATATTACATACATTCAAGTACACTAGTATAGGTTTTATCAAGTGACATTTAATATATGCAGACCAGGATTTTATACCTGTAGGCAATCCACGCCATCTGCAGATAAGACATACAAGTATTGAATGAAACAGGGGATTTAAAAATAGAATTGTAAAATCCTGTATTGATTAATCTACCTAATTATTATGCAAGAGATTATTTTCATTGTGTTGCCATATTCTGTTTGGGGGATAATCATTGATGTGTAACAAGAATAACCCCCCAGAGTGCCTCAGTGTCAAGCTTCAATGACTCACTGTGGTGTGTCCCCCATTCAATGACAAACTTCTTCAACTGTGAAAAAGAAAAATAAGACAAGGATTTCCCACTAACTGAAAGTCTCCAAATTACCGAAAGTGAAACTAATTTACTTCTTAGGACTGTGTTTGATAGAAGTGTTTACACTGTGGTTAATACTTGGATATTGTGATCAACACTGATCAGCAGGGACTTAAATTTTCTACCTGGTCTTGTTAATTGATAGTATATGTGGATTGTGTTCTACAAGATATTGAGAGCTAATGGTTCAATACAAGATAAAGAAGCTAGTTCATTGAGGGATATACCGAACAATTGATTGCCTTACTGTGGACGTTAGTAAACAGTGAAGATAAAATGACGATTCGGGATCGGTTACCAGAGTTTGAAGCCAAGCGAGATCAGTATGAGAGGGAAAGCATGCGAGGAAAGAAAGGAAAGAAATCCAAAAAAGAGGAGGAAGATTTATCTTTACCGGGGTTCCTCGAGAAAGTGAAGGGGATGGAGGGGAAGCTGGCGCTGCTGAAAGCAGACGTCAGCGAACTCAAGAAAATGCAGAACACATTATACTGTGCTCCCAAGGTGTCCGAGACAGATATACAAAGAATGGAGAACCTGGCAGACAAGATTCTGTCCAGCTCCATCACCATCAGGAAAGACATTGAACTTCTGTCGTCTGCTGGTACTGACCCCAAGTCACAGAAAAAAGGACTGATTCTGTCAAATGCAGAACAACGTGTGCAGAGCATGCAGATTGAAAGGCTTTCTCATGAACTTAGAACAACAATGAATGACTTCAGAACTAGCCAAGCTAGTTATCTGGAGAGAACAAAGGCCAGACTGAATAAACAGAGACAGATAGCTGCAATAACGGGTGACCCCCAGTATGATGTCAACACAAACTCGGTGAATTTAGACCTGAATTTTCAGAACACCAATGCTTTCATTGATCCTTATTTCCAGGAATCCCAGAAAGCTATTTCAGAGTTACAGGACCTTCAGGAGCGGGAGCAGGAATTGAGTGACCTTGAGAGTCAGATTCATGAGGTCAACATGTTGTTTAAGGAGATGCATGGACTCGTACAAGATCAGGGTAAAATGATAGATAATATAGAGAAACACGTAGAACTAGCGGTGGAGGACGTACAGAGCGGGAATCAACAGTTAGAGGAGGCAAAGAAACATCAGTGTGCCGCGAGGAAGAAAAAAATCATCTGCTTCTCCATCTTAATTACTATTGTTGTAATTGTCATTATAATCATTGTTGTGACGATGACAAATAGTGATTCAGAGTGAATAAGTTAGAGAGTGCTATATGTAGAACAACTGGAAATCGTAATGAGCACTGAACTACACATACATGTTCATTTATCATAAAGAGTCATTTAACGTCCATTATACATGTACATACAATTAAAAAATGGATTTTCAGATGATAAAATGCTACAGTAAAATTTTTATGAAATAAGTTTTATTTCCAAAAGCTTCACTTCACACTACAACTAAACCCTGAGGGCAAAAGGCTTGTGTAAAGAATGTTTACAATGAGATGACATGATAGGAAAGTGGGATTTTACCCATTATTTATCATGTTTATATAAAAAACAAATACTAGCTGTGTAGTAGTTTATAATGTCCTTGTACTAGCCACTACAATACTACACAGTATAATATTAATTGTCAGTAATACAGTAGTACACAGTTATACAATTATACAGTACTACACAGTTATACAATTATATGGTATACACAGTTATACAATTATACAGTATACACAGTTACACAACTATACAGTATACATAGTTATACAATTATACAGTATACACAGTTATACAATTATACAATACTACACAGTTATACAATTATACAATGCTATACAGTTATACAGTACTATACAGTTGTACAATTATAAAGTACTTCACAGTTATACAGTACTATACATTTATACAATTATGTTATACAATTATACGAAACTACACAGGCATACAATTATACAGAACTATTGATTTTGTCTTCAATATTGAGTGTTGATCTATCTGTATAACTTGTCTCTACACACACCAGGATAATTACAACAGGAAACAAGACTATGACATGGGTACAATGAGTTAATTCTGATTGAGTAATAATGAGGTTGTACTAAATCTGACTTCTCTATAAACTCTATAGTAAAGTATTCTCTGTAAACTCTATAGTAAAGTACTGAGCGTATTTTTTAAGCGCGAAGCGCAGCGCAAAGCTCTTACCATCATCGTAAATCTACTTCTGTTCGCGATCCAGCGCCACTAAGCAAGTTAGATAACTCCACTTGGTTTTCTAAAAATATGCAACTGGAAATCCCCGACTCTCTTTCGGCTATTTCAGTGTAATACTGAGTTACGTGCAGTTCTAATAATAGGAGTCAATTAGTAAGGTAAAGATGTGCATGTACATTGTACGAAAAATCCACTGTTAGTAAATAAGGGCGGTTCTTGTCATGCTTATCTCTATACATTGTAGTTCATTTAAAATCGTGTTTGGCACTCATCACTTATGTACCATGTAGCTAACAATTGCAGCATCTATGGTGCAAATACTTAATTAAAAACGGTTTATTATATGTCATGTACATGTAATGTAGTGATAGAATAAGTACATATTTTTAAAACTCAGATGGGATTTTAATAAGTATTTCAAACTCAAACTGGAATTGAGTTATATACCCCCAGCCGACGCTGGGGGTATAGCATAAGCTCATCTCGACTTCGTCGAGGTGAGCTAAAAAGTCTTTAAGAGCTAACTGGAAATCTCTTTTTCAGCAAGATGTGTTTGTGAAATACTGATGCCCCTGTATAGAACATATGGCAAAGGTGAAAGTTTCTGAAATGCATATCAAACTCAAAGGTCAAGAGATCAAAATTGTTTTTACCCAAAGAAAAGTCTTGTCTCAAAGAACATATCTGTGAAATATGAAAGCCCTAGCACTAACTGTTGAAAAGTTATGGCAAAGGTTAAATATTTTCAAAAGTAAGTCAAATGTCAAGGTCAAGGTCAAAATAAATGATGTAAATGATGAGCAATGGAAAGTCCTGTCACAAGAAACACACGTGAAAAATGAAGGCCCTTGTACCAATCTTTCAAAAGTTATGGACAAGTCTAAAGTTTTTCAAAAGAAAGTCAAATTCCAAGGTCAAGGTCAAAATTGTTGGTATCTATGAGAAGGTATTGTCAAAAGAAATACACCTGTGAAATATATAAGCCCTAGTACTAACTGTTCAAAAGTTATTGCCAAGGTTAAAGTTTTTCAAAAGTAGGTCAAACTCAAAATTCAAGGTCAAAGGGTCAAAATTGTTGGTATCCAAGGGAAGGTCTTGTCAAAAGGAATATACCTGTGAAATATGAAAGTCCTTATACTAACTGTTCAAAAGTTATGGCCAAGGTTAAAGTTTTTTAAATGTGGGTTATACTCCAAGGTCAAGATCAAAAGGTAAAAAATATATAAAGCCAAGGGAAGGACTTCTCACAAAGAATACAGTCAAACTTGTCATAGAGTCACCTTTATCCAGCAGTCACTTGTCCTATAAGGTCATTTTATTTCCTCCCAATGAATTTTCCTATATAATGTATAAACTCTATTAAGCGGTCACCTGGGTAACACGGTCAGCGGTCATCAAATTCCATGTAAAATCACCATTTACCTCATATATTGCTGATATTTTGTCCAATCACATGACCAGATCTAGAGTAAGGTCACTCCCAATTTTTGTCACTATTGAAAATTAATTGTTCTAGTTTGGCAAGATCATAGAAAGAAAAATAATTGGCCTTATTAAAATCATTTAAAATATTGGAGAATTTATTTATTATTTTTAACAGAACTCAGACAAGGGTGATAATGACCAAAATGTTTTTCTCAAAAACGAACTTATGAGAATCTTAGATTATGGAATTGGAATCTGGTTTTAAAAATTCTGAGTAATATTATTAAAAACAATGCATCCTTATTTATCTATAAATGGGTACAATTTTTAGGTGTTTCCTAATTATTAGTTCAGATTTGACATGCCCAACGATGATAGGTGTTACCGTGTAAACACATGGCAGGCAGTTTTTAAAACCCAGAAAACGTATTATTTGTAGAAACCCTAGTAAACTGTTTTGTATACACAATGTGTCCTGATTATCTCGTGATTTTCACTAAGGTAAGACGACCGTAAGGATTAGTTATGCTTCATTGCTCACAACACCCATGAATTTGATATCAATTTGTATTGTGCACTGCTTTGATCAACTGAGAGTACATGACTTGTCTGTTTATTATGCAATGATTAATGTATTTTTAAACATACAATTGTCAATTTGTCATATAATTGTAACTAAACATTTTTTAAGATGCAGTTTAGATAAAGATACATTATATTTAATTCATGACAATACATGATAATTTCTTATAATAAAAGAAAGTTTTATTGTTGTTTGGACGGAGGATAATGCAATGCCCTATTAGACTCAAAATATTTTTTGCTGGAGTCATACAATTTAGCTTGAACTTAATCTTGAGACTTTTTAAAAGAGCTAGGTTTTATGCATAAAATGGCCCTGTAGATATACCAATTTTTTGACTAACATTTTATGTTCCATTTTAAACATCAAGATAAAGTAGAGACTTAGTGCTTTCATTTCCTATTAAAAATTTTCTCCTTAAATCCAAGGTCTTGGAAAACAGGCTTCATGAAATTGCAATGTTCTTGAATTTTAAGGAAAACAAGTATATTTGAGTACTTTCACAGATGAGAAATAATATGAGCGCACACTCTGATCTAAAAAATAAAACATGTTTTGTAATCCTCAAATACAGTTCTATCATTTAATACTTGCGTATTTTAGATCAGAGGTTGCGCTCTATATTAAATATTGGAAAATAGCTTTAAAAATTGGCTGTTTTGTAGAATTTTTCAGGATATGAGGAAAATGACGCATTTCATGACGTCATAATGCATTGACTAGCCAGAAAATTACTTCATTTTTGATAGATACTCAGTCACCAAAGGTCTAAATGATACTTAATGCATTATCAACTATAACCAAGCAGTTTCAGTTTTTTTTAAATTCACAGGGCCAAAAAAGGCCCTAAGTGAACCTTGTTCTTTATTAAAAAAAAAATCTTAGTGAGACCACTGATGTCCAAAACACATTTTTCTTTAATATTCTGTGATGTAGTATTGTAAAACACAGAACTAACATAAATTGGAAAAGAATTTTTCTTGAAAAAGATGTTCCTCTATTCAAAGGTCACCTCTCTATAAAGGTCACTTTATATAAGATGACTGCTTAATACAGGTTTGACTGTACACACATGAAGTATGAAAGCCCTAACACCAACTGTTCAAAAGTACTGGCCAAGGTTAAAGTTTGGTAAAATTTTACAAAAGTGGGTCAAACTACAAGGTCAATAGATCATATATGTTGGTATCCAAAGAAAGGTCTTGTCACAAGGAACACACTTGTGAAATATGACAACTATAGCTCCAACAAATCAAAAGTTATTGGCAAGGTTAAAGTTTTTGCAAACAAACAAACAGACAGCTAGATAGATTGATATACAGATGGACAAGGCCAAAACTAAATGCCCTTGAATCTTTGATAACTGGGGCATAATAAGGACTATTACAGACTCTGACATTAACCTGGTTTGTTATGGACCAGTAACACAAATTACCAGATTACTTATATCTACTATATACTTACATTATTTCAAATTAAATCTTTGAACAATTATTGGTAGAACTAAATTTTATCACCAGCTGTACTCTCAGTAATATTAGAAAACTTTGATTTTTTTTTCTTTTCTTTTTTTTTTTTGCATAGACCCTGAGGTCCATGCATAAAATATATATATTTTATGCATAGACCTCAGGGTGAAATATAAAGATAATGTCATGTCAGGCAAAGGGAAAAATCCAGAGTCATCGACAATTCAGTTAAAAAAAAATGATGGCCTAACAGTTTGTATGAAACTTAATGACTTAACGATAGATTCTATTTGCTGACAAGTGGCATTCTTAAGTGGGGCTTAACAGGATGCTCTGGTTAAAAATCAGTTTAAGCATGCTCCCAAAATGCTAGACAAGTCACCCCTAGAACAATTAATTCATGACAATTCGCTCTTAGGACAAGTCCCCCTTGCCAGATTAGGCAGACTTGAGGCCCAGTTGGAACAAATGGCATGTTCCATTCCCATTGATTATGATTTTGAATATCTAATATATTAATGAACTGGCATATCCAAGCTTGTATTAAACTTATTCCAAAAATAAGATGGAGTTCCAGCATCAATTTGTGCATTACTTCTTCCTGGATAATATGAATGAATTACTTCTTTTGATTATAAAGCTCAAGGCAACAAACAATAGCTTCAGCCATTGGAAATTCATATATTTAAGAAATGAAGCTTATTTTAACCTATGTTATATGATATAATATAACTTGGGGGAGTTTACGCTTTATAAACCGCAAACACAGGTTAAAATAAGCTTCATTCCTTATAATTTAATTATAATCAAATGATGTGTTACAAATAAAATTAAATTATAATGAAATATTCAGATTACATGTTTCAAGATAAATAAAATCTATTTAACAAAACATACTAAGTATTTTTATCAGAGCCAAGAATAAAGGACAACAACTTTTAATCAAAGTACTGAAAGTACTGGGAAGCGCTAAGCATATTGCAATTTGTTTTTTTGTTTGTTTATTGCTTAATGTCTCTCTCGAGAATTTTTCACTCATATGGAGATGCCACCACTTGCCAGTGGAGAGCTGCATATTTTGACCTATACTTGGCACTCAAGGCCATTGAGCAGTGAGGGATCTTTTTCTCATGCCAGCACCTACTGCTAAATGGGACCTCGGTTTATACGGTCTCATCCGAAGGACTGGTCTCCACGTCCCACAGTGGGATTTGAACCTGCGACGTAAGGATCAACTCCTTACTCTGCAACTTAAGAGCGAACGCTCTAACCACTGCCCCACGCGGGCAAATAAGGGCCTAGAAGAAGAAATAATAGTTTATATGGATATATGTTATATAGAACGCACATATGTAAGTACATTGTAAATCAATTTTATGCGAAATTTTCTACTAAATAACTCAATTCCAGTTTGAGTTTGAAATACTTATTACCCATTCCCAAGTAACTATAAGCCCTACCTGGACCAAACTTGCATGGATGATGCGTCTAGGGATGGACACTACCACACTTGCTTCGGATGCTGGATCTGACATAGATTTTCCAGATGAGTGACCAGGTTAAAGTTTTAGGAGCAGGTCCATTCCCAAGTAACTATAAGCCCTACCTTGACCAAACTTGCATGGATGATGCATCTAGGGATGGACACTACCACACTTGCTTCGGATGCTGGATCTGACCTAGATTTTCCGGATGAGTGACCAGGTTAAAGTTTTAGGAGCAGGTCCATTCCCAAGTAACTATAAGCCCTACCTGGACCAAACTTGCATGGATGATGCATCTAGGGATGGACATTACCACACTTGCTTCAGATGCTGGATCTGACCTAGATTTTCCGGATGAGTGACCAGGTTAAAGTTTTAGGAGCAGGTCCATTCCCAAGTAACTATAAGCCCTACCTGGACCAAACTTGCATGGATGATGCATCTAGGGATGGACATTACCACACTTGCTTCGGATGCTGGATCTGATCTAGATTTTCCAGATGAGTGACCAGGTTAAAGTTTTAGGAGCAGGTCCATTCCCAAGTAACTATAAGCCCTACCTGGACCAAACTTGCATGGATGATGCATCTAGGGATGGACATGGCCACACTTACTTCGGATGCTGGATCTGACCTAGATTTTCCGGATGAGTGACCAGGTTAAAGTTTAAGGAGCAGGTCCATTCCCAAGTAACTATAAGCCCTACCTGGACCAAACTTGCATGGATGATGCATCAAGGGATGGACACTACCACACTTGCTTCGGATGCTGGATCTGACCTAGATTTTCCACATGTGAGACCAGGTTTAGATTTAGGTGTAGTCTCGTTTCCAAGTAACTATAAGCCCTACCTGGACCAAACTTTCATGGATGATGCATCTAGGGATGTACACTAACCAACCTGCTTCGAATGCTGGATCTGACCTAGATTTTCCACATGAGTGAATTTTAGCCATATTTTAACCAAATTAGCATTGATGATGTATCTAGGGATGGACACTTCCAGACTTGCCTTGGATTCTGAATCTGATGTACATTTTCCAGATGAGTGACCAGGGTAATTTTTTGGAGTAGCTATATAATATTATGGCCTGTTATGATTAAACTTGCATAGATGGTGCATCTAAGAATGAAAACTTCCAGACTTGCTTTGGATGTTGGAAGTGACCAAAATTTTCTTGATTACTAAACAGGTCAAAAGTTTTTTGAGCAGGTCTATAATTAAATCAAACTTGCATGGACATTGATCTTGGGATGTACACTAACTAGAAAAAAAATATGATGTGAAATTTGCCTTACATGTAGATAACATTCGTCGAGGTGAGCTTCGTAATCTTTGATTACCTATGTTTTTTATTTGTCAATTGTTACCAGCTGAGCTTTCTATCTGTATCTGTGCTTGTCCTGTATTACTGTACCATTATGTGGTGGCTTTTGAGAGTTTGTTACCACCTTAGTTTTGCTGCCTTGGTAGGTTTCTGTATACCAGTGTGTCTGCCCTGTGTTACTTTACCATTATGTGGCGGCTTTTGAGAGTTTGTTACCACCTTAGTTTTGTTGCCTTGGTAGGTTTCTGTATACCAGTGTGTCTGCCCTGTGTTACTGTACCATTATGTGGTGGCTTTTGAGAGTTTGTTACCACCTTAGTTTTGTTGCCTTGGTAGGTTTCTGTATACCAGTGTGTCTGCCTTGTGTTACTGTACCATTATGTGGTGGCTTTTGAGAGTTTGTTACCACCTTAGTTTTGTTGCCTTGGTAGGTTTCTGTATACCAGTGTGTCTGCCCTGTGTTACTTTACCATTATGTGGTGGCTTTTGAGAGTTTGTTACCACCTTAGTTTTGCTGCCTTGGTAGGTTTCTGTATACCAGTGTGTCTGCCCTGTGTTACTTTACCATTATGTGGTGGCTTTTGAGAGTTTGTTACCACCTTAGTTTTGCTGCCTTGGTAGGTTTCTGTATACCAGTGTGTCTGCCTTGTGTTACTGTACCATTATGTGGCGGCTTTTGAGAGTTTGTTACCACCTTAGTTTTGTTGCCTTAGTAGGTTTCTGTATACCAGTGTGTCTACCCTGTGTTATTGTACCATTATGTGGTGGCTTTTGAGAGTTTGTTACCACCTTAGTTTTGTTGCCTTGGTAGGTTTCTGTATACCAGTGTGTCTACCCTGTGTTATTGTACCATTATGTGGTGGCTTTTGAGAGTTTGTTACCACCTTAGTTTTGTTGCCTTGGTAGGTTTCTGTATACCAATGTGTCTGCCTTGTGTTACTTTACCATTATGTGGTGGCTTTTGAGAGTTTCTTACCACCTTAGTTTTGTTGCCTTGGTAGGTCTCTGAACATTGGTGATTACCATACTTGTGTTGGTTTAGCCATTTGTTTATAGTTTGTTACCTGGCATTAGTCTAAGTGCCCCCTCTCCAAATCTGAAGACTCCAGATGTTACTAGTGATATTGGCAGAGAACAACAGCTTTCTGTGCACTTTAATCGATTGAGAAATTTTTAATCCGTTAATGTGCACAATCAATAACTAAAATCTGTTACATGAAATCGGATTGATTTTTGTTCAGGAAATGTTTTTTTAATTATGAAACTTGAACTACTGTTATCAAAATTAGGATTTAAAAGACTTTCTTTACTGATTCAGAAACAAAAGATTGAAGAAAAACCATTGGTAACCATTGTTGTTAACAAACTCCAATAAATTTTATTGGAGAAAAAAAGATACATGTTGCTGGTGTTTTGGTTATAGTTTATTAAAAGTTTGATCATGCAGTTTATGAATCAGATGAGTAAATCATCTATATATTTCATGGAATAAGTATAGATATCGAGCATCAAATTAATTTTATGTAAAAGCAGAAAATGGCTTATGAAATGGAAATTATGCCTTAGTTTGGTGCACATTTTGAGTCTCTAAATTTTCTAACAATAGTGCATAATGAAAGGTAAAGAAGGCATAGAGCGAGGGTTTACTGGAACAGACTTCTGACCTTGTCTGACCTGTTCTAGTTATTTAATGGCTCTGATTTTAATAATAATATTTCTCATCCCATGGATTCTCTTTTTCCAACATTGGAAATTAAACTTAAATTATCTGCCTTGCTGACTGATGAAAAAGGTGAACTTAGTGAAAATTATTCCCATATTTCCGTAAGCAAATTCTCCTTAAAAGTAACTTTGAAATTCATTCATAAAAATTATAAATTCATTTATTTCCAAATTATAGACAATAGGATTAAAGTTGGACATAAATTTGGGTCATTATATTTTAAAGCCCAGATTTGTATACAGGGGAAAAAATTCATCAGATCTCCATAACATCAAAGCCACATTTAACAATGATATTACAGCATCTCCAAGTTTTGTGGATCATGATTGCTTTCTTAACGTGGGAACACAATATGAGACCAACCATTTTCATGGGAATGAAGTGGGGTTAAACACTCATACATATCCCCTGGAGAACAGCAGGGCCAATGTGACTCCGGTGAGCATTGATACCCATGGACCTCTTGTTTGAAATCAAAGGATCAGTCAGAGACTATAAAATGAGACATTTATACAAGGATGTAAACCCTATCTAGTGAACTTTTATAAATCTTTGGCATTTATTTTACTAATTAAGTAATATTATGGAAGGAACTCTCCCTGATCTATTCTCATTTGCACAGCTGCTTGTATTTTGTTGAATGGTATTTGTCTGAGAGATTGTTGGTATGAGTATAAAGCAGCCTGGAGGTTCCCTGTCATCTGTTGACAGATCCCCAGAATCTGCCATGATATGTCTCTGTAATGTAAAGGTATAAGTTGTCCCTGATCAATGTGAAGTAATGTCTGTAGATCATCTGGAGCTGTTTGTGCTCCCATTGTGTCTACATGTCTGTAGCACAAGATCTCTAGCATATATAACAGTGTAAAAGGTGGGACATGTAATCCAGGCCAGCCATTCTGTAGAGCAGACTGTTGTTCTGGTATCAATTCACTGATGTAATGGATTCTAGTGTAAAGTATGATATCCCCTGATACAGCCTGTCTCATCTTTGTTGACCAGAACTGTCCCCCTACAGCATCAGTATACATCTCTGTATTTACATTATACCTATACATCACATATGGCTGTGCTAACTTGACCTTGATCATCTCTATGATAGATAAAGCTTCCATGTATCTAAGTGTCTTGTAATAATACATGGCTATATACAGCATGTCAGTAATACAACCAAATTTGGCTGCTAATTTCAGCATGTGACAGGAGATTTTGTCAGCTCTATACCTCTGTTTATTTTTATATGTGTAAGTTTCCATGTGTAATATAAAAGCAATGCTCTGAAGGACATCAGCTGTAAGTTTCTGTAGCATAATTGCTTGATACTGTGTCAGGAGAGGTAAACCTATCATCTGTTCTATTGTATGTAGATATCTCGTACAACTTTGTATGTTCAAATTGTATAATGTGTTATAGTAGTGTATTTCTCTATATAGATTTATATCAAACTCAGCCTCAGAAATCAGAGTATGTTCATCTGTACAGATGGAGAGTCTGGGATTATAAAGGACATTTATAATATAAGCCCTAATGGAGGGACTGTGTAGCAGGAATGTTATACCCTTCTCATACAACCCATACAATCTAATAAATAGTTGATGTTGTTTGTCGCCATGAATTTTAGTAAGAAACATGTTGTTATCTGGTATGAAAAAGTTAGGACAGACCCCCTCATACACCCATTTAAGGATGACTTTAAAACAGACCCAGAAACCCCCCAGGAGATTTTGTGGACACCAGTGAGGTATTGTATTTTGTTGAATCACCCAGAAAACTGCTGTCTTCATGTGATAAGAACACAGTAATTTATCATTATCACCTACTCCATTGTTAATTACTTCTGTTAAGAACAACTTAAGTAAGCCATAAGTTAAGAATTGACAGTAATTCATTTCATATACTAGTTTTTGTTCTGCCAAAGAGAAAGAAATTCTCCATTCATGGTCTTCATGACTTCCTAGCTTATGTCCAATTGCTACAAAGTGACATCCATTTTTTACTATATCATCAACAACATGAGGCTGGGGCCATGAGTGACATCTGTCTATCCATGAGGAGGCAGATGGAGGCCAAAAGTCACAAATAAAACAGTGGGCAGAATCATATTCTGTTGTTCCAATTGTTCCACTGGCACAGGGTCCATGTGGAGTGGAGTCAAAACACATGATCTGTCTTAATTTAGAACTAGATATATAATTTCTGTTATTTATTCTAATAGAAGCTCTCTGAATGTCTCTGTTCCTGCTTGGTGAGAGTAAATATAACAAAGTGAATCCTGGTGGACTATCAGAACAGTCACAGAGGATCAGTGTATGTCTGTGTGTGTTGTAACACTGAGACTGAGATAATTCCCAGATCACACGGTGATTATTTAACCAGGACATATAGTCTATATCTGATCCCTCCAGTCTGAATCCTTCTCTTTGACTTCCACTCAACATCGCTCTGTACTCATCACTTGTTTTCACTTGAATTTCCACCATATCCTTGATGTCCATCACATCTCTCCTCATGGCCACCAGTTGTGAGGTCCCCACTTTATGACACATTCCCACAAACACTGACTCTGATATATGTTGTATGTCTGTCCCCCTGTTAAAAATTAAAGGATAATTTATATATATCTCGTATATATGTCACTCTGGTAAATCAGTATGTAATCATTAGGAAAAAATTATTTAATAGTTCTGCAAAAGAATTAAGCTTACACATGTAGATTCATAGAATGTTTAACAAGTATTTTACACCGGTAAGGCAATAATTATAAAGTTAATATAATTTATATATAGTACAGTATACCACTATTAAATTAAAAGTAATCATCATAGTTAAGTATGGCTGTGTATCACAAAGGGAACCAAGTACATGTATAACCAGCTATCACAACATTTCATAAAAATTTTACAGTATGTCAAGTTTTTACATATGCTGCTATTCCAATAATTATTCTTTGATTTTAAGGAAGCTTTAAACACTAATGAAACATTCCTTTTGGATATCGAGAAAAATATTTTACAAAAAGATGCACATATTAAGCATATGCAGATCATTTTCAACATGGGGTACCTACCTTATTTTTCCAGTAAAAAGGTTCAAAGGCAATGGACTATTTGTGAACAGAAATCACTGTTGTTTACATACATTTGGAAAGTTAATGGAAATAGTGTATTTTAATGCGACTGTTTTGTAAAATACCTTTTTACTGGATAATAATAAACTGAAGTTTGAGGCAGTCAAACAAGCATTAACAGGAATGAAAACTTTTGATTATGATGTCATAATAGAATGACACAAAACACAATGCTTTGTGATATGTTAGAAAACTCGACAAAATAAGATGTAAATATCAAACAAAATGCATATATTGCATTAAAAAGGGAATAAATATCTTTGGACCATTAATGTGGATTTAAGAGTTGCAAACTTTCATTTTACCAGCTCCGCTTACATGTCGCAAATAAATTCTGTTTACACGAGTGTTGAGAAATTGGACGATTTTTAGTAACCGGGTACTCGCTTACTTTTCTGATTGAGTAACAGGTTACTTGGATGGTTTTTATTTAGCCTCAAAATATCCCTATACTTAATAGTAACTATTTGTATATGTAACTTTGTTACCATTTCCATATTTATCTCATCATTATATACTGGTATATGTGAAACATAAATACACTGCTTACGAACTTTATTCTTATAATTACAACGCAAAATATTAAATAGTTTTAAAATATTTTTTCTTGAACATCCCTAATAGTTTTCTGTTTTGCGGGATGTCTTTTAATCACTTGATTCAGAGTAAACTTTTAATCTTAGGTAGTTTAGCATAGTGGATTTTGATTGAATCATTCTTTTAAAATACATGTGTATTTTGATGCACGTGTTGATATCCTCTTTAATCTTGTATGCTGTGGACTAGCACAAATTTATAAGAGGTAATTATAATGAACTCAAGCCTCCAAAACTTGTATAACCCGGCCTTGGCAAACAAAGCCTCCAATTAAATAATTTGTGAAATACTTATCAAAGCAAATCGGTTATATTTGTAAAACACTAGGTCGAGTTGTTACATAACGGTAAATAAAATGTGGAAACTTATTAACAAAATTACATTTTTTCCTTCTGATTGATTGTATGTTGTTTTACGTCCCATTCGGTGAAGGGCTTCAAATTTTGACCTTTACTCGGCACTCAGGGCCAGTGAGCAGTGAGGGATCTTTATCGTGCCTACGCCTACCGTGACATGGGGCCTCGGTTTTTAAGGTCTCATCAGAAGGACCCGCAACTTTCACTTCAAAGTGCCGAGCGCATGGTGAAGGAACAGTTGCTTCCCATTTTTTATCGACTTAGGTCAGTCGCGGCCGAGATTCGAACTCACAACTTCCCGATCACGGAGCGAGCACTCTACCTACTGAGCTACCTTGAACAGTTTTTTCCTTCTGATTAAACAGAATAAATTAAAATATAAATTTTATATATACGAGTAACCTTGTAGCAGTTTTACTAACTGATAATTGCATTGTTCGAGGGTTAACCAGTTAACCGGGTACTCGTTGACAACACTAGTTCACACCATTAAATCTCATTAGGGTCTTCAGAGCTTCCACTTCGGAAGACCCTTCTGTTGTTCTTCTCTTTCTTATTATTTTTGTCTAGTGATTTCTCCGAGATTTTTTGCATGATTCTTATGAGACTTTCAGGATAAATATATTATCTTTAAGCCTTAAACGGTTTTTCAATTTTTAGCTCACATGAGCTGAAAGCTTAAGTGGGCTTTTCAGATCACCTGTTGTCCATCATCCATCCGTCTGCCTGTCTGTCCGTCTGTCTGTAAGCTTTTCCACATTTGAACTTCTTCTTAAGAACCACTGGCCCAACTTTAACCAAAGTTAGTACAAATCATCCTTGAGTGAAGGATAGTTTAAAATTGTTAAAATAAAAGGCCAAGCCCCATTGCAAAGGGGGATAATCAAGAAAAGACAGCAATAGGGTAGGGTCATTAAAAATACATAATTTTATGATTTATGGTAGGGCAGATTTATCCAAAGTGCTAACATTTGCAGTCTTGTAGGACCATATTCGCAAAGAAACATCTGATTAGATTGAACAACAAACATCACTCCTGAATCACTGATAAAGGATGTGCAAGATAATAGATTGTGAAAGCCAAACAATAGGCTTTTATTAGTGTAAACTAGTTGTTTAGGATAAGTACCTGAAAATGGTATATAATTTTGCTTTGAGGCTTCTAAATTTCTACATTTATGTCCCCCCATCAAATGTGCAAATATTTTACTGTGGCATTACTGTTGTGCTGAAATTTTTTTTAACTGGAGGCCACAACATTCAAAGAACCATGGAGAACCCCACTCATTTACAAACCCACCTCTCAACACTGGACCAGAAAATAATGAATCTCCCATGGCCTTTAGTTTTGAGTGTAGGTCTAAATTTGAAGCCCTATACCAGTTTATGGTGATTTTTTTTTTAATATGAGTGAAAAATTCTTGAATGGAGGTAAAATAACATACAATCAACTGATAAATCGATCTAAGGAACAGAAGAGTCATGATGGGTAATTTTAATACAGTATCATATCTGATGGTAGTTCAGATTCAAGTTTGTACAAATCCTCGTCCCTGGAGGTTATAAGTTGAACCACATTTTGGACCAGTAGACCTTTTCACTAAAAGTCTCAAGTTTATTTTAAAGATTTAAAAAAAAAAATCCGTAAGTTCTTTTCAGGAATGCATTTGTAGCAGATGGAAGAAGAATTTTACTTAAATCAAACTTCTTCCATTTCAATGATTTTAATACGCATTATAAACCTTGAAAAAAATAAAAATAAAGCAATGTTTTGATCTCTTGAAGAAGAAACAAACACTACCTTTTTAGCTCATCTGAGCTGAAAGCTCAAGTGAGCTTTTCTGATCACATTTTGTCAGTAGTCCGTCTAGCTGTCTGTCTGTCTGTCTGTAAACTTTTCACATTTTCGAATTCTTCTCCAGAACCACTGGGCCAATTTCAACCATACTTGCCACAAAGCATCCTTGGGTGAAGGGGGTTTAAGTTTGTTCAAATGAAGGGCCAAGCCCTCTTCCAAGGGGAGGTAATTAAGAATTGGTGAAAATTTGGTGTCATCTTTTAAAAATCTTCTTCTCAAGAACCATTGGGCCAGAAAAATTGAATCTTATGTGATATCTTCATTACATAGTGTAGATTCAAATTTGTTCAAACCATGATCCCCGGGGGTAGTGTGGGGCCACAATGAGGGATCAAAGTTTTACATAGGAATATATAGGAAAATTCTTTAAAAAAATTTTCTCAAGAACAGCAAAGCCACAATTAGTCATATTGATATGGAATCATCCTCAGGTAGTGTAGATTAAAGTTTAATCAGATCATGACCCCCGGGTCATGTGGGGCCACAATGGGGGATCAAAGTTTTACATAGGAATATATAGGAAAATTCTTTAAAAATATCTTCTCAAGGACAACAAAGCCACAATTAGTCATATTGATATGGAATTATCCTTAGGTAGTGTAGATTCAAGTGTGTTGAAATCATGACTCATAGGGGGTAGGGTGGAGCCACAATAAGGGATCAAAGTTTTACATAGGAATATATAGGAAAATTCTTTAAAAAATCTTTTTTTCAAGAACAACAAAGCCACAATTAGTCATATTGATATGGAATCATCCCCAGATAGTGTAGATTTAAGTTTAATAAAAATCATGACCCCCCGGTGGTAGGGTAGGGCCACAATGGGGGATCAAAGTTTCACATAGGAATATATAGGAAAATTCTTTAAAAAATCTTCTTCTCAAGAACAACAAAGCCACAATTAGTCATATTGATATGGAATCATCCTCAGGTAGAGTAGATTCAAGTTTGTTGAAATCATGACCCCTGGGGGTAGGGTGAGGCCTCAATGAGGATCAAAGTTTTACATAGGAATACATAGGAAAAATCTCTAAAAATCTTTTCAAGAACAGGACAGCCATGATTAGTCATATTGATATTGAAGCAGCCCCAAGTATTGTAGATTCAAGTTTGTTCAAGGTATCCTCCAGTAATAGAGTGGGGCCATAAGGGGATCAAAGTTTAACAAAAGAATATATATATATATATATATATATATATATATATATATAGATATATAGATATATATATAGATATATATATATATATATATATATATATATATATATATATATAGGAAATATCTTTAAAAATCTTCTTCTCAAGAACAACAAAGCCATGATTAGTCATATTGATATGGAAGCATCCTCAGGTAGTGTAGATTCATGTTTGTTCAAATTACTTAACAGGTATCATTCATTCTCAGGTTATCATTAATTTTTCAAAAACTTTCAAGAAACTGATTGAGATAATGTAGGAATTTTTTACATGTATATTTCTTCATTAAAACTTACATATGTGAACTTCTAATGGAGTCCATGTTGAAAGATAAGATCTGAAAAGTTTCAGGTGCTATAAATAGTAAAGAAAAATCCACCTACTTTCATTTTGATTTATATTACCTTGTTGTGTCATTCAAGATATATTTGATAGTACGGCATTTATGAAAGCAAAATTTTAAAAAATATATTTCAATGAACAAAAATATGTAAGAAATACATGTTATATTTTGTTTGTGGTCTACAACATACTGTCAAAATTTTCATTGAATTAAAAACATAAGAAATGATTCAGTGAAGTACCCTGGGTTAATGGTTGTAGATTAAGACTGTTTATTTGGTAAAGGAAATTTATTCAATGGTGGATTTTGAAGGGGGTGCCCTCATTTTTTTGAAATTTCAGAAGATAAGGTTATCTGTGTAAATATAAAGGGTAAAATTTTCACGATGAAATTTGAAGACGACAAACCGTGATCATTCTTGGAAGTCCATTAAACAATACAAATAATGAGCAGAGTGCACACAGACCTCCAAAAGAGGTTTGATCAGGTGCCAGTGAGAAATGAATCCCCTGTCTACCAGACAGACCTGCAATGTACTCCCTGTCATGATATTGCAAATGGAAAAACCCATAGACATTTCAGTTTGAAAATAATGGTCTAACAATTTGTTCTATGAAAAATGTTGGTCAACATTCGATGACAGATTGTATTTGCAAACAAAGTCATTGTATCAACCATAGACTTTTGCAAAATGTTGACTTTAAATGAGATTGTTGATATTCTTGCATCATCAACTTGTATGTCTAGAGCCTGGAATATGTAGATCATTCTCTTATTTAATGTAAATCACTTTTTATTCGTGAGAACTTTATTTTCACGTAATTACGTGAGACAGTGTGCTCGTGAAAATTTCATTCTCGCATATAGTAGTATTTAGGCCATACCAATTTCTAATATAGTTCGTCGGATTCGCCGCTTCTATTTACAACAAATCCAAATTATAATATTATAAAAAAAAAATCCGCGCGCGCGTCCAAAAATATCCGTATACAATTTTTTTTTCGACTTTTTACACAAAACGCACAAAAGACTTGGAAACTTGTTTGACAGAAGCGCGGGATTTAGAATGTTTGTAACAGTTTGTGAAGTTTTGCACGATGCCTGTGTAACTGTTCGTATGTACCAGGGGTGAGCAATTAGCATCTCCCGACGCCCGGGGCTACCATTTTTGCGGGTCGGGCTAGTGGTTTTCTGCAAGGAGGAAGCCCGTCGGGCTAGTGAAAAATTTAACTACACACGCAATACATGACAAGCACAATCGGTATTTTCACTCATTTTTTTGCTATAAAATTCCAAACCAGTTAAAATTTTCCAGACAACATGCTCCGACTGTCAATAAATCTCCATAGTCTTATTTGTTTTACAGTTCTATCTGACTATTTACTTCCAAAAACGATCTTTTTTTCCTAATCCGAATTTCCTCTATTCCTCCATTTATGGTAAATACATACAGATATCTCATTAAATTATTTACGATCACTCAATCAACTGAAAAATAAGTGTTTTGTGACTTACATAAAATATATTTCTAGTGTATTTAATGATTTAAGATGAAAACAAAATGAATTTAATTTCATTTTAAATGAGCTAGTGCAATGATCAGAAAAAGGAAAGATAATTTATTTAAATTCATTTTAATTTCCTTTCATAATAATTTATACATGATTTATATTGATAGTGAGAACTTTTAACTTTAATTTTAAAAAGAATGACCTCAGTACCCTGAATTTTTCAGCAATTAATTTCTTCTCAACATTAATTAGTATTTATTTTAATTTTTGCCCCTCTATTTGGGCTAGTAACTTTTTACTTGGGGCTAGTAACTTTGATTGACTTACTTGATTTTTTTTATTGCACACCCCTGTGTACTATAGTTAAAAACAATGGGTACAAAGTAGTTCCATACACAGCAATAGAAATGGAAGCATAGGAGACGTTTGAAGCTTTGTTTGATGAAACAATAAAGAGAATATCATCAACATATGAAAAATATACACAAGGTTAAGTAAATATTGACCATATTTGTTCAATAAAAATTAAAGAAAATTCAAGAAGCGATGCAATTGTGATTTTGAAACCTGACATGACCTTAACAATTTGCAAAGAATTAAACAGAAAATTTGTAGAAATGAAACTACGTCTAAATTGCAATGTTACGAGAAACAAAAGAAAGGCGCGTTTTCACATCTTATGAGTGCATAGAAAACGTTTTCTCTCCCAGAAAAAATAATAGGAAAAAGAGGAGAACTTAGAAAATTTTGCCACCTATATTAATTATATTCGCTCGCCTCATAATTTTGAAACCCGAAATGAAAAATAATATTTGTAAAATTATTTCGCTCGCTCGCCTCACTTTTTATTTTTGAAAATCCGAAGAACTATTTTACAAATTGGTGTGGCCTTATGATTATATAGAGCAATGACCAAAATTTTGTCTCGCTAATAACGAATAAATGACTATCTAGCAAAATAAAGGTGTCGCGAAAATGAAGTCATCTACAGTATCAAATCAACTAGAAGTCATAAAAAGTGATAATGGAATATGGGAAGTTTAAATGACATAAAAATTGAAGTCATCACAATTGTCATGAAATCTAGTTGTCAGTTGCCATCTGATCAGTGTCTTTTTCTTGTTAAACATCCAGATATGAAACAAATGTGTCATACGCTGTGCTATCTTTAAAAATATTTCATGTTGAAAGGGATACCTGTATATAGAATTAATGAAGGAATGAATATGGCCAGAAAAAATGAAATATATATGAAAGCTTAATTACATACCAGTAGTGTTGAAATCATCACCCCTGGGGGAATAGTGGTGCCAAAACAGGAGTTCAAATTTTTACATAGGAGTATATAGTGGAAATATATTTCTAAATCTTCGTCTTAAAAACTGCAAAGCCATGATTAATCATTAATATAAAAGCACCCTCAGTTAATGTAGATTCAAGTTTTGTTTAAAACTTGACCCCTGGAGATAGGTTGGGCCACATTAGGTGATCAAAGTTGGCTTATGAACAAAAAAGTAATTATTAGTCATATTGATATACAAGAATATAGATTCAAGTTTGTTCAGATTAGGTCCTGGATACAATAGGGGATCAAGGTTTTACAAGAGAGTAATTTGGGAGAAATCTTTTCAAAACTCACAAGACCATACTAAATTGTATTAAAAAGCAAAGCATATGTAATTTATTTATGAATTTATTTATTTATTTATTATAATTATTTTTTTATACAAATTTTGAACCCAGGGTTTAGGATTGGGCACAAAATTAGAGATCCAAATCCACATATTTCACATGAAAAAAATCTCCAGAACACTTGATTGAATGGATATTGAATATTGTACGGGTTCAACTTTCATTTAATCATCATTTTAAAAAAAGAAATTTGGTGGTGAAGAACAGCACGGGCAAAATGATTCAGATGAGAGTTAAGGCCCTTGGGCCTCTTAATAATTGTTTTTCTAAATAACTACATAATTTGCATATAAACTAGGCTTTCCTACTCAAAAACTTATATGATTTTTTTAATTCTTAAAATTTGTTGAAATATTTACAAATAGACAAATTTTAACAAAATAAGAGGATATATTGAGACCAGTTAGGCATCTTTACGTATGATGAGAGGATGGTTTAAATCAACGCATAATTTGATAATTGGTGTTGAAATGTAGCCTCTTTTTACTTTACCAATGGAGGTTATAAAATTATATTTTTAATTTTTGTAAACCTCGAAATTCCAGGGCTTTCCTTGACCCACACAAGGCCTTCACTAAACATACTTGGGCTGAAACCCCCACCTGCGAAAATATAATCTCTCCACAAAACAGAAATTCTGGTTCTCTTCATCCACTTTTCCTATGGAGGCTACCTATAGAGGAGATATTTACGCCTTCATGGTACCTGACTCGCCTTTGATGATGTTTGCTCTGCTCCCAATTTGTGTATTGTTTCAGTCGACTTTTGAGCTTGATTACTGTTCGCTTTTTGTCCATCAAGTATTTCATACCTAAAGGTGCAGGAATTTAATTCAAATTAATGCTTCCAAAATAAAATAAGAGCATGTACACAAAATGTAACTCAAAGCTTCAAATTGCTTGTAAAATATTTCTAGGAGGAATTTCTGCAAAAATTTATTTATCTTCTGTCCCTCTATCTATCTATCTATCTATCTATCTATCTATCTGTTCATTTGTCTATTCTGAATTTTAACTTTTACAAAACACTACCTGTGACCCATGGGCCTCTTGTTTTGTGTGGTTGCCAGAATCTATGATGTTCATAAATGACACTCTGAACAGAAGATTCTCTCCCAAGAGAAATTATGAACTTTTCATAAACAAAATGTAACTCAAAGATTCAAGTTGCTGGTGAAGTATTTTTAGTAAGGATTTCTGCAGAAATTTATTATGTACTGTCTCTCTGTCTATATGTCTATTTTCTTTCTATATCTGTTCATTTGTCTATTCTGAATGTTATCTTTACAAAACACTGCATGTGGCCCATGGGCCTCTTGTTTTGTGTGGGTGCCAGAATTTACGATATTAATGACTGACACTCTAAGCTGAAAATTCTCTCACTATAAAATTTTATGAAAATTTCATAAAACGTGGTTTATTTCAATAAATGAAAATAAGAAGATCGTTTACCAAAAGCTATACAAGCCATCTAAAATGCTAAAATAACAAAAGTAAATGCTACCAAGAAACAAACAATATTATCATTAAAACAATGTGCTCTTTCTCATCCTACTTTACAATGCTTTGAGTGTTAGGGTTGAGTACAATGATTTTATTTTTTATTTGTTCCAGGTAAGAGAATTCAGTGGATTTAAGTACATCATGGAGGAAGCCATCACAGGTGACTTTGCCCTGATCAAGGCACACAAGGCAGACAAAGTGGGAAACCTCACCTTCAGGTTAGTAGATCAAGGCACACAAGGCAGACAAAGTGGGAAACCTCACCTTCAGGTTAGTAGATCAAGGCACACAAGGTAGACAAAGTGGGAAACCTCACCTTTAGGTTAGATCAAGGCACACAAGGCAGACAAAGTGGGAAACCTCACCTTTAGGTTAGTAGATCAAGGCACACAAGGCCGACAAAGTGGGAAGCCTCACATTTAGGTAGTACATCAAGGCAGACAAGGCAGACAAAGTGGGAAACCTCACCTTTAGGTTAGTAGATCAAGGCACACAAGGCAGATAAATATAGAAACTTCACCTTTAGGTTAGTAGATCAAGGCACACAATCAAGGTGCACAAGGCAGACAAAGTGGGAAACCTCACCATTAGGTTAGTAGATCAAGACACACAATCAAGGCACACAAGGTAGACAAAGTGGGGAACCTCACCTTCAGGTTAGTAGATCAAGGCACACAAGGCAGACAAAGTGGGAAACCTCACCTTTAGGTTAGTACTTCAAGGCACACAAGGGAGACAAAGTGGGAAACCTCACCTTTAGGTTAGTAGATCAAGGCATACAGGGCAGACAAAGTGGGAAACCTCACCATTAGGTTAGTAGGTATACAAAGGCAACTCCACCTTAAATATATAGGTCAAGACACTAGACAGTATGTTAAGATACAATAATGGCAACTCCACCTTAAAGATAGGCCAAGACACTAGACAGTAGGACAAGTCACACAGAGGCACTACAAGTTTACAATAGGTCAAAACACTATACAACCCTATTTCATTTATGAAAGTATGCTTAAGGAGACGAACATTAGGGCAGTAGGTCAAGGCACACAAAATAGGCAGCCTTACCTTGTAGATTAGTTGAGTATAAAGCTAACAAAGAAAATAACACTCTCATGTGAGGTAACAATTTCAGGACATGAGGGGAAGACAAGTAAGGCAATGTCAACTTTATATCTGCTTTGATGATACAAGGCATTCAAACAATATGTTCTTGTTTTCTAGACAGAAGCAGACACGATCAGAAACTTCATCTAAGATGACAAGATATGAATTTCCATTGAACTTAACAAATATAGTTACTGATATACTGGGATAAAATTTGTTACCTCTTCTTAGAGTAGGTGAAAGTGAACAAGATGGGTATCCAGGACATGTCTTAAATAAATGCCATAAAGAAAAAAATATTCTCAACAATAAACAAGACACCTACTTTTATTTATGTCTTATTTCAAAGATGGAAACTCTGAAAATGAAAACAGATGAATTGATACCATTACTTAGTAGTGCCTTTTCCACTGGTAAGCTAGTGATATAAATGAACCTGTTTTTCTTGTTGAAAGGTTCTTAATTTGAAAGGTAGGGGAATGTGTTTAAGTAAGCTAATTTTTTTGTTTTAGAAAGACAGCTCGTAACTTTAATCCCCCGATGTGTAAGGCTGGGCGGATCACAATTGCAGAAGTGGAGGAGATCGTGGAAGTCGGAGAAATTCCACCAGAGGACGTCCACGTTCCACATGTGTACGTACAGAGAGTCATCAAAGGACCCAGCTACGAAAAAAGGATAGAGGTATAAATAAACAGTAAAGAGAGGATAGAGGTAAAAATAAACAGTAAAAAGAGGATAGAATTATAAATAAACTGTAAAAAGAATATAGAAGTATAAATAAACAGTAAAAAGAGGATAGAAGTATAAATAAACAGTAAAGAGAGGATAGAGGTAAAAATATACAGTAAAAGAGGATAGAGGTAAAAATATACAGTAAAAGAGGATAGAGGTAAAAATATACAGTAAAAAGAGGGTAGAGGTAAAAATAAACAGTAAAAAGAGGATATAGAGGTAAAAATAAACAGTAAAAATATGATAGAGGTAAAAATAAACAGTAAAAATATTGTAAAGGTAAAAATACACAGTAAAAATAGGACAGAGGTGAAAATAAACAGTAAAAAGAGGAAAGAGGTAAAAATAAACAGTGAAAAGAGAATAGACTCAGGTAAAAATAAACATTAGAAAGAGGAGAAAGGTAAAAATATACAGTAAAAAGAGGATAAAGGTAAAAATTAACAGTAAAAAGTGGATAGAGGTAAAATATACTGTAAAATGAGGATAAAGGTAAAAATTAACAGTAAAAAGTGGATAGAGGTTAAAATATACAGTAAAAAGTGGATAGAGGTTAAAATATACAGTAAAGAGAGGATAGAAATAAAAATAAACAGTATAAGGAGGATAGAGGTAAAAACTGTAAAATGAAGATAGAGATAAAAATAAACTGTAAAAAGAGGATAGAGGTAAAAATAAACAGTAAAAAGAGGATAGAAGTAAAAACAGTAAAAAGAGGATAGAGGTAAAAATAAACTGTAAAAAGAGGACAGAGGTAAAAATAAACAGTAAAAAGAGTAAAAAGATGATAGAGGCAAAATAAACAGGTAAAAGAGGATGGAGTTAATTTGTGTAAAATAAAAAGGATAGAAAAGGACAGATATACAGTAAATAGAGGTAATTTGTGTAAAATAATTTAATTCTGTTTGTATTCTAGCCTCTGATTAGTTAATATCCGAAAAGGAACACAGGTTAAATCTGTATAACCTGGGTTTTTTTTATGGGGACACACCCCCCTGCCAACCAGCTGAATCATCTGTATCCATACAATCCTCTCATTTCCAGTCCTCGGGATTCATGGAAAATGACACATTTAATAACTTTAACTTCAAACATTAACTCGATCTTACCACATGAAAACAACAACATGGCTGCTAGGCCTATGTTTCAGTTTCTAGATCCCCTAACTGCCGTTGCTACAGTTGTATTATTGAGCGGCATAATTTGAACTAATAAAAAGCAATGAAATTCTACATGCACAGTTGTTTAATGATATTAAAATTAAATTATAAGGAATAACTCTAATTCTTGGCCAAATTATTCGAGTATAACCTGGTTTGGGTCGGTTTATGCTTAGCACTTTACGATAAGAGTGTTTTACTGTGAAATCAAAACAAACGCAAAAACAGGTTACAATAATTATTGTAATAATTTACAATATGAGCCAAATTTATATACCCATTGAAGGGATTATCACATTTATGCACATTGAAGAAGTGCCTGTATACAATCTAAACGATATAAATTCTAAAGTAGAAATCCTCTGCTTGTAAATAAATATCCCCATTTCTAACTGAATTATCTTACTTACAGAGACTGACAACACGGACGGAAGGCAACGAGGAACCAGAGACTAATGACAAGGCTGCAGAAATGAGGAACAGAATCATAAAGCGGGCAGCACTGGAGTTCCATGATGGAATATATGGTAGAGAGAAAGTTAGATATGTAAAGATTACATTGATCACAGTATATGAAGAATCATTGAATAACAGAATAGCATGGGATGAAGCTGTTGATATGTTGTACAGTTTCAGCAAATCTTAATAATATGGGTTTATTCTGCCAAATAATTTTAGCTAATCTAAATGTTGTTTATATTTCTGGTCAAATAATTTCAGCCAATCTGGGTATTGGAATGCCAATGTTGGCCAGTAATTATATCCCGCCAGGAATGACCGTCCATCTACAGAGTGAAAATGGAATCATGGGATTGGTTAGTGTTTTAATTAACTTGATTATTGAAGATTATTGAAGATTTTAATCACAGTAAATAACAGTAACTATAAATTCGTATAGAATTTTAAACTGAGATAATTGTGGCTTAATATTGATTTCATATTGCATTACTTTACTGTCACATTGTTTAACCAAAGGAAATAATGTTTTGTTGTACATGTAACATTACAGGGTCCGTACCCATTACCTAGTGAGGTTGACCCAGATCTGATCAACGCAGGTAAACAGACCGTCACCAACATCCCAGGGAGCTCTTTTTTCTCCAGTGACGACTCCTTCGCTATGATTAGAGGGTTTGTTTATTATTTAACGACATTGGATCCTGATATTTAAAGTCTTAAACTTTTTTTGTCAAGTATATTTTTAGCTTGTACACACATAGCTTATTTAAAAATCAAAACAAAATATGGGGGTCAATATGCTTCTTTTGGCGCTACAGTACATTTAAAATGACCTTTTTGCACTGAATTTGTGTCTTAATCAAAAATAACATCTTCGACGTTTTCCCTCCAATATTTTTTATACAAATAAATCATGGGACAAAGTATGCTATTATTCTCTCTTAAAAAAGACACATTAAAATTGTGACAAAGAAAAATTTTCAAATTGCTTCGCATAATCAATTATTTGACCTTTCTGCACTCACAAAATGTCATTTTTCGGGCATTAAAAATTTAACAAGCAAGAAAAATATTTTAAAGTCTTAAACTTTTGCTGAATCTAAGTAGATTGATCAGAGTTATCTTATATATTCAGAAAAGAAAATCAAAAGAGGAGGACTATGATGTTATTTTTTAGATATTACTAAAAAACTGTAAATTTTGTGATAAAATTGGCTCAATTTTTTCCTGGAGTTTCAGAATATATTTTCTATATTTGTCACAATATGATGATAGAATTCACAAAAACTGATTTAATTAATATTTTAGAACCAGCATTAAACATTTCAATGCACAAAATAGCTCTGTGTGCAACCAGCATGGAAAAATAGGAATCTAAACTTAACAGTACTGTATATATTTCAAAAGGGAAAAAATGATCATTTTCTTCTAAAAAATCTTCCGCCACAAAATATAGTTCCTGGCTTAATCCTATTTGAATGGAATTTAATCGCGTTTTTTTCATTGGATATAGTATAATTTGCATTGTAGAATCCAGATTTAATGTTAGAACTTAAAAATAATGCAGAATTTTAGAAATAAAGCTCCAGACCAAAATCTGCTCAAAAGCTCAGGATCGAACGTCCTTAAATCAAGATCAGTGACCTTAAGATCAAGGTCTATACATTGAAAAGAGGTTTCATTCCTTATATATCATTGTTCAAAACCATTTTCAATTTACTTTTATTAAGCTGATTTCAATAAAAGTTATTCTGAAGTACACTTTGAGATAAATGCTACTAGAGTAATGATACGTTGGATAACACATTGTCTTAGAAAGTGAATAAATTTGAAAATTATTCTTAATTCCATCAATTTAATATGTTGATGTTTACATTTATTTTACTTTTAAATTTGATTTAGAAATAACGTTTAAAATAAATTTTAAATCGAATATCTAAACACGTTACATTATGTACTTTATTTCACTGGAATACTGTTTCTTTTTTCTTTGGTACAAAATGAGGGGAAAATATTTGATGACCTCACAGAGAATCCCTAAGGTGGAAGTTTTTTCTGAGATCTGTGAAAAGTTGTAAACCTTAAATTGAACAAAAAACTGAATTCTGCTGAATCATGCGACTAATATTGTTTTTGCAGAGGACACATAAACCTGACCATACTTGGGGCATTACAAGTTTCTCGTTATGGAGATCTGGCCAACTGGATGATTCCGGTAAGCTAGAGAGTGTGCATCAGGAAGTTAACTTTTAATTTGATAATCACTTTTCAAGACTCTATGTTCTCAGTTTGAAGAAAATTAATTTTTTGATTTAACCAGTTTCTCATATTATAATTCAATTCTGATGTGTAATCTGTGTGTTACAGACTTACTTAATGAACTGTTTGCCTTGTTTTACTAATCACTAATCTGTGATGCCTGGTTTTTAGGGCCGGTTGGTTAAGGGAATGGGCGGAGCTATGGATCTGGTGTCCAGTCACAAAACTAAGGTTATTGTAACCATGGAGCACCAGGACAAGGTTGTAAAATAGTCCGACTTGCATTTGCTAAATCAAAACCTTATAAATAAGTTTATAGTTTGATTAAATTTCAGTATAAGTTAATAAGTGTTTATATATTTCAGAAAGGAAACAGTAAGATAGTTATCAGCTGTGATCTGCCACTGACGGGTAAAAACTGTGTGGATATGATCATCACAGACAAGGTAGGGTAAACACTGATGTAGTCAATGTAAATCTGTAACCAGAGATACTGTGTTAAAAAGTGAGAGATCATCATTATTGTAGTTGTGTATGATAATAATAATATATATTTCAGTGTGTGTTTGACGTGGACATGGAGAAGGGACTGATTTTAACGGAGATTGCAGAAAACGAAGATGTAGCCAGCATTGTTGGTGCCACCAACTGTGAATTTGTGGTATGTGCTTTACAAGTGTACTACTACTGCATAATGACTGATTTTTTGTAGTTTTGCATTGTGATCTTTATAAAAAAAATTAATTGCAAAATAGGACATTAGATATAGGACAAATTAAAAAATATTTATGCTTAGCACATTAAACATACAACCAAAGAGATAAACAAGATTTCAAAAGCAAATTGATATTTAATTTTTTACTCTGAAGTATCAAATTAACATTTTAAACAACAGATACTGCCATCAGTATAACATACATGTAGTACTAGTCCTTCATGATTAGTGAAGCATTCATATAAATAATTTATATTTATACAGGATTTTTAATTGCTAAAATTTGCTATGCTTAAAAAAGTTTATAAATTGAAGAATTGAATTACAGTCTTGTGATAAACATCAGAGCATGTCCTGGAAGACTTCACTGGAGTCTGAAATGGATTATTTCTGTAACCTGAACTATGTCATGTCTTGAGAAGTACATATAATTCTATAAACCTTTGCCTTTTAACAGGTTGCCCCCGATGTTAAAGTAATGGGACAGATTCAGACATAGATTATGGGGAGATAACTCACTGCTGGTCTTGTCAATGCCTGCGTCTGACTTCTATGTGATGTGTAGACTTATAATGTGTGTCTGACTTCTATGTGATGTGTAGACTTATAATATGTGTTTGACTTCTATGTGATGTGTAGACTTATAATGTGTGTCTGACTTCTATGTGATGTGTAGACTTATAATGTGTGTCTGACTTCTATGTGATGTGTAGACTTATAATGTGTGTTTGACTTCTATGTGATGTGTAGACTTATGATGTGTGTGTGTCTGACTTCTATGTGATGTGTAGACTTATGATGTGTGTGTTTGACTTCTATGTGATGTGTAGACTTATGATGTGTGTGTTTGACTTCTATGTGATGTGTAGACTTATAATGTGTGTGTCTGACTTCTATGTGATGTGTAGACATATAAACATATTGTCATGATGAGAGGGATAGACCTAAACACTGGTGTATAGGTCAAAACACTCAAGTCTTTGTGATCTGAGCCTAATCTCTTATGGAATAATTGTGAGAGAATATGTTCCTTTATGACATTGTATTGTGGGGATAAACCCAGATCATCCACTTGTCAAAAGTTATGTTCCACATAAGAAGACTAAATATTACTTTGTGGAGCATTATTTTATGTACAGTCTATATTAATGCATAATTAATAATTTTATGACTTTTCCATGCTTTTCGCAAAAAAAAAAATCTAATTGAACAACCTTAAGAACATTGTTATATTTGTCATTTGATGAAGGATATAAATCATATCATATATAAGAAACATAATCTGTACCAATTAAAAAAGAATTTAAAGATAATTTTAAATTTTTCATATAAATTAAATATCAACACTATTTTAAAATAATTTAGATTGCCAAATAATTATAGAACTATCCAGATTTCTGTAGAGTTTTTATTGAAGCAGATCATGTACTTTACATATAGAGTCTTGGTTGCCTCTCTGACACATTACCTTTTTCCCAAAAAAATAACAGAGTCCTTAGGCCTTATATTAAGCATATTGATACATGAGGTAGGGGATATTGAAATTTTCTTTTTATATCAAGGTTTGAGATGTGTACAACTAACACATATGCAACTGACTATTTATATCTGAGGGCATTTAAATCATGTACCCAATGTTTCTATTGATGATGTTTGTATGAATTCTGAAATATTTGTTTTGTTTCAGAATAAAAGTGATGTTTTTGTACTATTTCTGTTTTGGTTTTTAACACATAGGTTTATAAATTGGAGATGATCAAAGATTATTAATGTTCATCACACTTGTATTTAGAAAGTTGCTGTTCAGATGACAAAATGATATAATAAAATTTTTAAAAAAAGTAAGTTTTATTTTCAAAAACTTCACTATACAACTAGACTCTGAAGGCAAAAGACGTGTGTAAAGAATGTGTACAGCAAGGTGACAAGACAGGGATTTTACCCACTTATATTGATATAAAGACAAATACTGTGTAGTTGTGTATAATGTCCTTGTACAGTCACTGCAATACTACTACACAGAATGACACAGAGTGAGATATAGAGTTTTACAGTACTTTCCATTTATACAGTTACACAATACTATACAGTTATACAGTAATACACAGTTGTACAGTTATACAGTACTCTACATTTATATAATTATACAGTACTACACAGTTATACAATTATACAAAACAGTTATACAATTATACAGTACTATACAGTTATACAGTACTACACAGTTATGCAGAACTATTGATTTTGTTTTCAATACTATGTGTTGATCTATCTGTATAACTTATAGTATAACTTGTCACTACACACACCAGGATAATCACAACAGGAAACAAGATACTGGCATGAGTACAATGAGTTAATTCTGATAAATAAGGTTATGCTATGTCTGACCCCTGTATAAACGACCAGTCAGCAGATGGTTTATAGTAATATACCAGATTATTTTACACAAGTTGCTCTCCTTGAATCTGGGCTCTGATAAAAATACTAAGTATGTGTTAAATAGATATCATTTATCTTGAAACATGTAATCTGAATATTTCATTATAATATATGAATTTTTTATGGCTAAAGCTGTAATTATAAATGGTCTTGAAATGTTGATTTTGGCAACAATTATTTATTGCTTGTAGCCTTGACTGTTGATCAAAAAGAGTTCATTCATTCATATCATCCAGGAAGCACTCCATTGATGCTCTGTAATATCTTTGAAATAAGTTTAATACAAGTTTGGATAACCCAGCACATTAATATATAAGGTATCTAAAATCACTGTTATCAATCAGATAGAAAGAAATACAAAATTAAGTTTTAGATTGAACACATAAAATGACTTAAATGTTAATAGTTGTCTTTGTAAAACACGCCATTTGTTCCAACTGTGGCTGAGTCCGCCTATTCTGAGGAGGGCAAGCGTGACATGTCCTAACAGCGAAATGTGCTAGGAGCTTCTTGTCTAGCATTCTTGGAGCATGAATAAACTGTCCTTTCCCATAGCATCTGATTTAGCCTTTCTGTGACCTTGAGAGTCAGATTCATGAGTTCAACATGTTGTTAAAGAGATGCACGGACTGTTACAAGATCAGGGTAAAATGATACATAATATTGAGAAACACGTAGAACTAGCAGTGGAAGACGTCCAGAGTGGGACTCAACAGCTAGAGGAGGCAAAACAAAAAAAAAATCAGTGTGCTGCGAGGAAGAAAAAAATATCTGCTTCTCCATCTTACCTACTGTCGTTGTAATTGTCGTTATAATAATTGTTGTGTCGATGACGAATAGTGATTCAGAGTGAAAAAGTTAGAGAGTGTTATATGTAGAACAACTGGAAATCGTAATGAGCACTGAACTACACATACATGTACATTTATCATAAAGAGTCATTTAACGTCCATTATACAGGCATTTAAAAAATGGATTTCCAGAAGACGAAATGCTACAATAAAATTTTTATTAAAAAAATTTTATTTCCAAAAACTTCATTACAAGTAAAAACCCTGAGGGCTAAAGTCCTGTGTAAAGAATGTTTATAGTACAAGATGACAAGATAGGAATGTGGGATTTTACCCATTTATATTTATATGAAGACAAATACTGTGTGTAGGTCCTTGTATTAGCCAACACAATACCACACAGTATAATTGTCATTTATACAGTATAATACAGTTATACAATTAACACAGTTATACAGTACAACACAGTTATATAATTATACAGTACTACACAGTTAACAGTTATTCAATTATACAGTACTACACAGTTATACAATTATACAGTACTACACAGATATACAATTATACAGAACTACACAGTTATACAATTATACAGTACTACACAGTTATACAATTATACAGTACTACACAGTTATACAATTATACAGTACTACACAGTTATACAATTATACAGTACTACACATTTATACAGCTATATACAGTACTATTGATTTTATCTTCAATACTATCTACTGTGTGTTGATCTTTCAGTATAACTTATAGTCTCTACATCACAACAGGAAACAAAATAATGACATGGGTACAGTGAGTTTATTCTGATAGAGTGAGAAGGTTGTACTAGATCTGACTCCTGTATAACTGTTAATCAGCAGATCCTCTATAGTAAAGTACTGGGTATATTTTACACAAGTTGCTGTTCTTGATTCTTGGTTCTGATGAAAATACTCAGTATGTGTTGTTAAATAGATTTTATTTATTGTCAAACATGTAATCCAAAATGCTTCATGGTAATTTTATATGTGAATTTCTAATGGCTGAAGCTGTAAAAATATATGGTCTGGATCTATTGATTTTGGCAACAGTTATTTATTCCTTGAAGCCTTGATTTTTTAATCAAAAGGAGGTCATTCTTTCATATTATCCAAGAAACACTGATGCAAAAACAGATGCTGGGAATTCATACTATCTTTCAAATAAGATTAATTCAATCTTGGATATACCAGTACATTAATACATTAGATATTGAAAACCATAATCAATCAACATGAACAAGTACAAAATTATATTTAAGATTGATCGAGTAAAATAACTTGAAGATTAAAGTCAGTTAAAGAGCTATCACAGCTCATGTTTATCTGTTATACTGTATAAAATATACCGCAAGCTTGCCGACTAAAAGTAAAATTTACTTGACTTGAAGGTTAAGTTAATTGTCTTTTCATACAAATTGTTAGACCATTATTTTCTCGCTGAATTGGCTACAGATCTTTTCATTTGTCTGATCATGACAAGGAGCACATGGCAAGTGTGACCGATCGACATGGGATGCTTATTCCTTTATGGCACCAGATCCCACGTTATATCTTTAGAGGTCTATGTTTGTTCTGCTCCCAATTTTTATTGTTTTAATGATCTTTTGAGCTTGGTTACTGTTCATTATCTTCACATTTCATCCTAAGGTTTCTGCCTGCAATACATGATACATATATTTATTTTATGCATGGACCTTAGGGTCTATGCAAAAAAAAAAAAAAAAAAAAAAAAAAAAAAAAAAAAAAAAAAATCAATGTTAATCAGTATGACTGAGAGTACTTTAAGCTGGTGATAAAATTTAGATTTATCAATAATTGTTCAAAGATTTAATTTGAAATAATGTAAGTATATAAAGTAAATGTAAGTAATCTGGTAAATTGTATTACTGATCTGTAACCTACCAGGTGGATATCAGAGTCTCTAAGATTTAAGAAGAGTCTTTTTGTGTCGCTTGTTGAGCAGAGGGGCACTTAGGGATCACTTTACCCAGCGTTTGTCAAGCTGTCTCCCTGTCTGTCTGTCCGTCCGTCTGTCACACCTTGTATCTCAAGAACTGTAAGAGATATGGACTCAATATTATGCACATATATTGCTTGGCACTATGGCTTTTGTGCATTGCCATGGTTACTGACCTTGTGACCCTTGACCTTGACCTTTGACCTACTTTACAAAATTGTTAATAGTACCAATATACAGTATATTTTTGACATGCTATTTAGCATGTGCAATGATTGTCATAAAACATTATGAAAAATACCAGGGTTACAATCCACTTGACTTTGACTTTTGACCTACTTTGCAAAAATACTGTGGACAGTTTAATTCAACTGATGTCTTTTGAATTTTGAGAGGCGGGGTGTTGATAATTAGCATTTATACGTTTTTGACTCATGATTCTGTACTTTGAAACTGTATGATATTTAGTTACCACACAAACTGATATTTTTAAAATGCTATGAAAATACATCAGGATCAGTATCCCACAATGGATCATTAGACTGACAATTGGAGTAAAGACTTTGAAACATGTATTTATACATGTGAAATGATAAATAATTATTTATAATAATTCTAATTTAATTTTTCATCTGGGGGTTGAGAATTATATTTTTTTTTTGATTGTCAGAATCTGTCGTAGTCTTATACAATCCAAGTATGCCTTGTAGTACTAGTAGTAAATAAATAGCTAACTACACTTAGAGTTATTTACATTTTCTTAAATGAAGCTACAAAGCAGGAGACACATGCCTTCCTTGGAATACTCTAGTTATCTGTCAATTGTCACCAACTGAGCTTTGTACTGTATTCCTCAGGTTGGTATGCATCTGTCCTGTGTTACTGTACCATTATGTGCTAGCTTTTGAGTTTGTAACCGAGTTTTGTAGCCTTGGCAGGTTTCCATATATCTGTGTTTGCCTGTACATGTGTTAAACCTTTTATTTTAAGTTTTTCTGGCATTATCTCAGTGCCCCTCTCTTAATCTGAAGGCTCCAGATGTTACTAGTGATATTGAAAGAGAAGACATCTCTCTGTGTACTACAGTCAGATATTTTTATTCTACTGATGCACACAATCAATAAATAAAATCTGTTACATTAAATCAAGATTGATTTTTGTAAAGGAAATGTACCTTTTAAATGTTTTGTACAATCATGTCAAAGTGACACTTGAACTATTGATATCATAAAGATTTACAAAAGTGTCTTTACTGTAACATAAGATTGAAGAAAACCATTGGCAGCCATTATTGTTTACAAACTCTGATGGATTTTGTTGGAGAAAAGAGTTGTGTTTGTGAAACACTGATGCCCCCGTATGACAGCTTTTTGGGAAGGTTAAAGTTTCTCAAATGCAAATCAAACTTCAAGGTCAAGAGATCAAAATGTTGTTACCCAAAGAAATAACTTGTCTATTTGAATATACCATATGAAATATGAAAGCC